CCTTGGTATATTCCTGAATAGCCCTATAGATCACCGGCTTGAGAATTTGTTCCCGCAAGCTGTGTGTCTCCGGATCAACTGGCGGAGGAGGTGGAGAAGTGTGAGGAGGGGGAGTCGGACTCCTTCAGTGTCCTGCGGGTGGTTACCGGTACCGTTGACCTCGGGCTTCAACGGTGTGGTGCCGGCTGCTGAGAAAGGAGACGGGCCAGACGGTGAAGAAGGACCGTCTCTGTCGATATCCATGGAGCTGCGCAGGGTATCATCACGCTCTGCTGCTGCTGCGGCGGCTGCCATGTTTGCTGAGAGTCTGCGGAGCTCGTCCGGGGGAAGATTCAACGGATGTGAGTTGGGATCAAGGGCAAACCGGCCTCCACTGCTGGCTTTCTTTGACAGCTTTGATTTGAGTCCGGGCGATGCGGCGGCGGCGGCGGCGGTAGCAGCAGCGGTATTAGGAGTAGTAGACGAGCTCAGTTCTCGCCTGGACCTGGCAGACGCAGCTCCGGCTGCTGGTCCTGCTGCTGCGGGAGCAGTTGTAGACGGCCGGGGGGCGGGCCTGCTTCTCGACGCAGAGGCGGAGGCCGCACGCGGCGAGGAAGTCGGGGACGAGGGAGTCGACGAAGGGTGCGGCCTGGTGCTGAGCCGACGGTGAGGCCCCTTGGTCGGGCTGCTCTGGGCCGAAGACGACTGCGGCGGCGGCGGCAGAGGGCCAAAGGGATCAGAGAGCTCGGGGGTCTCTCGTCTGTAGGCGGGCGGTTGGTCGAGCGAGGTGCTCTGGGGGCGCTCGGCGGTGTCGGTCTTGCGACGGGGCAGCGAGGTCGTCGTCGACGGCGAGGGAGCGTCTGCTGTCTGGTCCGCGATCGAGGATGCGGACGGCGAGGCCTTGTGTTTCTTCTTGTCGACGGGTTTTGGTGACTTGAAGAATTTTGGGAGAACCATTGAAGAAGTTTTTTTTTTTTTTTTTTTTTTTTTTTTTTTGTTTTCCCTTTTTGGTTGTTCCGGAAAAAAAGTTGTGGGAGAGAAAAAAAAAAAAGATGGAAGTTGAGAGACGTCGATGGAAGAAGACGCAGCAGCAGCAGCGGCAGAGAAGACGCAGAAGCAGAACGAGAGGAAGAGAGAAGACGAAGGAGCAGCTAAACCATCGCTGGTACTCGCTCTCTTGCTCGTGGGCGTCGCTGCTTGGTTTCTTTTCCTTGTTTTCTTATAGATATTCGCCTCGATAGTTATATATGACTATTCACACCCGGTGGCAGAGAGAAGAGCTGGCGACGGAGGAGACGACGAGGACGACGACGACGGTGATGATTATGATGATAAAGACAGCCGGCAGGGCCAGCAACCTCGAGAAGAACGGAAAAAGCAAATAATAAGACAGAGAGAAGCAAAGATGCGCAGGTTGCTAGAAGGTTCTTCTTAGGGAGACTGAGCTGCGATGTATGAAATTAGACGAGATCCCTCTGCTCCAAGCCACCGATTTTACTCGACTCCTAATAGGCAGACACAGACAGCCAGGGGATGGGGAGGGGGGAGTTTACCTGCAGAAGGGAGACATGCGACCCTCAGCGCGAGCAGGGATGGAAGGGAAGAGGGGGGGGGGGGGGGGTTGCTGCTCTCAGGACCAGGTCAGGACGATTGCATGTTGACAGGACGACGACGACGACGCTGTGAAAACAGACAGATACAATATTACAGCACAGAGATGGACTAACTAGTCGAGGATGATGGATGGACCAGGGACAGGGCGTATTCGACCACTAAGATCAGCAGAGACGGTGGATGAATTTTAGCAGGCAAGCGGGCGAGCTGCTCACTGGCCCAGCACCCGTTTTTCTCTCCTCATCTGCTGCTATTTTATCAGGCACTTATGCATGCCGGTGGAGGCTGGGGGACGGTAGCTGGCCTGTCAGAAGCGCCATTGCAGGGCCCCCTTAGCACATCCGTTAAGGCTGTGATATCAAAAAGCAGACTTTTTTTGTGGTATCTCTTTCCCCGGCCAAAAATCAGCTCCAGATAAACTACACATCGATGGGACATGGCCTCTCTATAACTAACGCACATAACCGTCTGATGAGAAAGGGAAAAAGGGAGAAAGGGAGAAAGGAGATTCTTAAAACAAGGGTGCGGATAGAACGATGAAACTCCAGAAGCCGAATGCAAATCCCTGCTCAACACTTGAACGTGGAGAGTGGATTGAAAACACCGAGAGAAACAGAGAAATGGAGATAGCAATGATAGATTTTAAGAAAGAAGGCGGGAAAAAAAAATCATGATACGAGTTTGCTAACATGGCGAACTAGGATGTGGTTGGAGTTTTGCTTACTTTGGAAGCAAAGGATGGAATGGCTGGCTTCGCCTTGCGAGCCATCGGTGTTGAAGACAGCCTGGGTCGAGTCGAAGGGCGGTTGTCATCGCTCTCTATATTTGCTCGTCGCTTCTTGAGCGTGCCTTCAGCCTTGCTGCTCTTGCTGGTGGTGCTGCAGCCATTATAACACTATATATATAGTTATACCATGTCCGTTGTTAGATCGATGCATGACATCTCTCTCCCCAGGGCCCCTCCCCTTGGATGCAGGGACTAACCTTATAAGCATGGCGAAACCATGTCGTCCCTCTCTTCTTGCTACTGACCAGCCCAACCCACGAGTCACAGTTCTCACAAAGACCCTCCCAGATGTTTGCGTTGCCCTGGCTTCGTCGAGTCTGCTTCGGGGGACTAAATACCTGCCCGGTCGTAGCACTGATGCCATGTGTGAAACTCTTGTCATACCAATACCCGGAGTTTTTGAGCATAAGCCAGCGTCCAGGCTTGCAGATGCCGCACCAGCCTTCACGCTTGTTTCCGTGTCCGCGTACCCAGGCGGGAGTGTACATGTCGCCTTCAAAGCGAGGATCCTGCTCCCAGGGAATCATCGCTGGGTCAGATGGGAACAGGTCTTCCGGTGGTGGTTGTGATGGTCTATCCTTCAACGGTTCAAACAAGTCAGGAGGGTCAGCCAGGTTTGAATAGTGACCGATATCATGCTGTGCCCGACACAGCCTCTTCCCGGACACTTTTCGAGATACAGCTCGCTTAGTTTTGCGCTTCGGGGTGGCCAAGTCAGACTTGGTCTTTTTGGCGCCAGCTGGAGGTTTTGGCAACGGAAAAGGCAGGGCTTCCACTGCCTCCTTTGACTTTGCTTTCTCCTCAGATGTATCAGCCGCCTGGGGAGGAGGGTGGTGGTCTGGTTTCTGCCCTAGAGGGGATGATGATGCAGCAAATGGTGTGTTACCATGCGGCTGAGGAAGGTACGTTGGATTCGCGGAAGAAGGGCTCTGTATCCATCCACTTCCGCAGCCGTCGTAGCCGTAAATTCTCAATTGCCGGGTTCGAGGAGCTCCTGGAGACACGGCAGTCATGGCGCCCGATTCAAACTTGAGAGAGTCTAGGTATTGCTGCTGTCTTTGAGGCGAGGCTGAAGGCGAGAGTGGTGTGTTTGAGTAGTATAGGGAGCTACAGGGAGTGAAAGCTGAAGTTGAAGACGGTATATCTGAGTATGCAGATATGCCATTATACCCTATCGATGCTGAGACGAACCCAGATGGCGGCTGCGTAGTAGGAACAGCTGTGTCAACCGTCAATTGTGCCATGGTCGGTCTAGGAGAGTTTTCCCAGCTCGATAATGACTCGGCTTCAGTAGATGCTCGGTTGTTGAGCTCAGAGCCTACTGATGGGAGCATAGCATGATTTTCTACCATACCCGCCTTATACAGGTCTGCTTCTGTTAGCCTGTTGTTGAAGAATGAAAAGGAGTCACAACAATACTTGGTTTCCCTACCGTTGTGTAGAGAGTTAGCGCCGACATAGCCATCAGAGATTCCAAATCTCTGTGTCAAAGGGGTTTGATCAGGCTCATGTGTGTCATATGTGAGCTGTGGCTGGTATTTTGGAGGGCTAGACACCAACGGTAATGAGTATATGCTATCATATAGCTGCCTCGCATGGTGATTCTCTTGCTTGACCGGCACTGGAAGACAGGTCCACGGATACTCAGATGGGTGCACCCCTCCATCATGTCCAATTGGTATACCATCATATCTAGCAAGATATCCGCCTACATCTTCTGACAGGGCTTGTGAAGACGATATATATTCGCTCCTAGAGAGGTCAGTAAGGGTGCCTTTTCTTTCTTGTCTACCTGCTTGAAGGGGCAATTTAAAAAGATACAAAAAAAATTATGCATACTGCTGCAGGGCGCTCCTGTACTCGACTTCACCTGTTGACATATTTCTAGAGAATTGTATGTATAAGCTCTTTAATTTCCCAGAAGAAAGAAAATGAACTTGATCTCGATGCCCGCAGCGAGTCCTTGGTAGAATCAAAATTAAGGCGTTTGGTTGAATTAAAAATCGTTATTAGTTTCCGAGGCCTGCCAGAAGCGTTCGTGCGTTCGTTCGTAAGCCCGTGGGGGTAAATATAAAGTGAAGGATGGAATGGACAGTTGCAGATCAATATAGATAGTCCCGGACGCGATTAAGGAATGGATAAAAAATCAAGTCAGAATTAAAACGAATTCTGCAATTAAAAGAGTATTATAGGAGAGTCCAGCTCCTCTTGAAAATAGTAAAAACAGAAGAAAGAAGGGAATGAAATCAGGGTACATTAACCATAACGGATATGAAGCTATATTCAAACAGTAATGAGAGAATGTATTTCCCCCTGGATGGAGAAGAATGAAACAAAAGGGGTAGACAGAAGAAAAGGAGAGGCAGACGTCAGAGAGTTCGAGAGAAACGGAGGGAAAGATAGGCTGTCGTGCAATTATATCAAAACCTATTCTCACCCTCACCCTCACACCCCCCCTCCCCCTCCCTGTGCCGGACATAAGGTGGAGAGTTGCATCTATAATTAAAAAAGGAAAACCAGACGAAGAAAGGGGAAAAAAAGAAATACAGGAAGAGGAAATCCGTAGGGAGGGGAAGGCAGCGGCAACAATGTCACTTGATATTACCGCCCAAGTGCCTCCATCCAGGGGCTCGGTTGGCTCTGCTCTGAACGACCTTGGGCTTGCAGGGAAGGATGCACGGTGCATAGGGGGAAAGTCAGATAACCATTGAGCATATCCTCGAAAGGGCTAGCTAGCTAAAGTCAGCGCTCTCATCCTTTGGTCTAGGTGTTGGGATTCCTTCGATGTTCCTCTCGTCCAAATTTGGTTGCAGCAGAGCTGTAGCCGCCAGCCAACTTGTTGTTACTTGCCGGCATGAACCGCGGATGATGCAAGTTGCCAAGGGGTTATGTGCCGTCCTCTGCCTTTTGTCCGTTAACTAGTTAAGTAGTTAGTTGCTGCACAGTCAACCGGATTGAGGTCTCTATTGGTACCTGAATATCAAACATTTTTTAACCGCCGACCTCGAGGCTCTAAAAATAGCAACACATTGAATTGGGCCTGTTAGCTCGCGCCGTTTCCCAGCTCCTCGTATTACGCTGGAAGGTAAAAAGGGCCTCGATGCAAAGGATCCAACAGCCTGGAGTTCCCCGGAGAGCGCTGTGATTGGGAAACACTTCTCGTACAAGCATCGTCTCCCAGGACAGCAGGCTATGAGTTACTTATTTCATGCAGAGAAGAGAGACGGAAGCGCCCACTCCCAGCAACCCCCTTGTTACTCTCCTTGTCCGTGTGCGAGCCAACAGGGGAGGAAAACTCTTGCATGTCTGCTCTAACCGCTGTGTGTCGTCTGGTTCCGCTGCTTCGGCTAGGCTGGATGTAGTAGTCTGGCAGATCGTGAATGCCACTGTATGCACCACTTGCTGCAGGCCTTGTCCGGGTCTGGGGCACTCGGCTGCCTCTGATCGAGAACAAGGTCCAATCGCCAGTGATTCTGGGCTGTCGTTTCTCCACTGCAATAAAACGATCGTCTGTTCTCATGCACAGAGTTCCATTCTGCGAACCCATGTCGTCCCTGCGCTACTGCAGGCCGTGCATTCATTCCCTATTCATGATGCCTGCTCCCCCATTGACACCATAAATCGAGGCTTGCGACTAGTAAACATCTTTGCATTGTATTCAGTTGTCATATCATTATGGATCTCTCTGCAGATCATTTTGGCATCCGGAATAAACGAAAAGCTGATGCCCTGTTGCTATTTTTGGTGGCAGCCAACATTTGGTAGTTATCTAACATCTTAGACAACGCTAGAGAAGTAGATTTCTGGACGATCAAAGTCATCCAACTCTTGGGTAGTTCTATATTTACCTTAGGATAGCGTGAATCGAGTTTTTTTTTCCCGTTCTTCTCTTCTTCAATGCCCCCACGTTGATGAAACTACAACTACTGCAGCAGACGTGCCCCCCGTCACGGCGGTTAGCAACGACAGATCAGGGCATAGTCTGAGGGCCAACTGTATCAAAGTGTCAGAATTCATGCCTTGGGACTACTACCCGACTACTAGATACGAACTACAATCGGCCAAGTAGCAACTTTCCCGTTGCACTCTATTACTTTATCTAGGGCTACGGCGGTATAGGTTTGACAACGAGAGTAAAGACAAATATGCGCTCAAAAAGGCACGAAAGGAACATAGCAATTTGGACATTATTTTTTTTTTTTTTTTTTTTTATATATCTTTATTAGCAAGGATTTGGGTTGAGGAATCTGAAAGCTTGGACATGTGAATGAATTAGTATCAAAGGCTCCGTAGGAATGTTGAACCAAAACAGTCTGACAAGCATAATTCGTTAATTCATACCTGTCATGTTATCCTGAGTAGAAATTGAGGAGTCCTTTGTTGAAATCAGAACCCTCAAAATGTATCATGAAAAGTAATATCGCACATCTGAATAAAAGAAAGCAAATGATATCCGTGTAGCCCTGCTGGAGACACTACACGGAGTAGGCGTAGGGAAATAAGGGATAAGGTGGGATTTTGAGGAGAAAAAGACAGATTGATTGGCAAGTCCTTCTGATGTGGTCGAGCTCGATGTTTCATCAGTTATCCATGTGCTCAAGCTCATGCTTGACTTCGGAGCCGTTCATAGTAGTCACTACTGTTGGCTTGGAATCCAGAACGGTGTCCGTTGGATCTGCATTATCTCCAGGCAGCTCTTCTTCTCTGGCAATGTCACCAAAGAGTGACGTACTATTCAAAAATGAAATTAGCTCCTCCTTGAGAGATTTGTCCATCATTTCGCTTGAGCTTTTCACCCCCGTCAAGTAATCGTCACCCATATCATCGAAAATCCTCTCGACGTCGAGGTCGATTAAGTCAACAAGGGCGTTGACTAACTCTTCGAGTTCCATTTTGATAAAATCGACGGTTCCTAGGAACATGTCGTTCTTGGACTGAGATACACTGTTAGCAATTATGGCCTTTATTTTCGGAAATGCACCAGCTCCTAAATATAATAATAATTTAGCTCTATTTACTTTAAGCGAAGATCGAAAACCATACCCTTGATTGTGGAAACTTCAATGTAGGCAGGTTTCAAAGCCGTTGTTATGCTTGGGACAAAAATACGGTTCAGCTCCTTTTGCTTAGAATCTATTTTATCGGTGATAAAATGGATAATTTGCTTGATCTTTTCCTTATATCTTAAACATTGATCGTTTAAGATTTTGGATCGTGAGTCGCTTTCATTAAGCGTTCGGACATTTTTCATTACGTTCTTGTGAAATTCACCTATATCTCTCCGTAGAGAATCTGAAGTTTTGTTGAGTAGATGAGGGATCTGCCTGGTAAAGGTCCTGGGTAATGATTAGCAGGCCGCAAGAAACATTGAAGTTGAAAACATTGAGATTACCTTTCCCAGGTTAGCCCAATAATTGCCATTAATGGGTCAGCCCTATAAACATGAGCCTCGATTCTTCGAACGTCAAAGCTGTTTGCAAGACCTACAGCTCTTTATTCCAATTCTGGGGTGGAAATGTTAGCTCCCTATGAACCAGGTAATTACATGGTTTACTTACGTAGCGATTCCCCTTGCCATCACGAAATTCACCAGATCTCCGGCAGATGGCTTTGTACGTGGGATATGATATCCCTCCATCCTTCTTGACTCGGTTCCACCGAGGTGGCGCCCTTTCAGCCGCATTCTTAGCTGCAATGGCGGCACCATCTACACATATTAACTTCAAACTTCTCGACGCAACTTGGAAACGGGACATACCAAGACTAGCATATAGATGCTGCCTTATTCCCAACAGGGCTTTTGATAGGTTGAGAATCGTGGTGTTTAAAACCTGACAAAGATCAGTGAATCCATTTAGAATGAAGGATTAATAATAACACTCACCTCCTTGAGTTTGTTGAACTCAGCCTGAAGTAATTCCTGGTCGTCCTGATTTGACCTGAGTGACAATTTATCTTGCCCTGACGCCTGAAGCTGCAAACTATTGACTAATTGGCCAAGGTTATTCAGGAAATCGGTATGCTTTGCCATACGGGCCGCAAAGCCTAGGTTCAAACAATATCTTTGGAGCTGGGGTATTCCAGTATCCTCGGGGGTTATAAACCCCTTCATTACTTTGTGCTCCTTTAACCTACCTTCCAATATCTGAAATGCCTTAGATGACACGCAAAAAACGTCTAATTTTTCTTTCGTCATTGGAATTTCTCTGTCTTCACTACCTTCGTCTTCGCTGGTGCTTCTGGGATGAAGAAGTCCAGCCACGAAATCCTCTCTTATGTGAGCATCGGAATACTCATTGCGTTTCTCGATGCAGCAACGCTCAAATTCGCGTTGCTTAAGTTTTATCTCCTTTCTAACAGATAAAACCTCAGTCTCAAGAGATTGGAGTTCGGCCTTAATTGTGGCTTGATTTTCTGTCAGATTCTTTTTGGAAACCATCAACTCGCGCTTTCGAGGGCTGGGTGATGGCGATAGAGATATGTTTTTAGCACCATGGTTAGAAGGGCTCTGTATAGAGTTGATCTCGGGGGCAACTTCGGTATCGTCCTGTATCGCAAAGTCGATCAGTTTCTCTAGCTTCAACCTTATGCGCTTGTCCTTTTGTTTAAGGCTCTGTATTTTCAAGCCTATGGCTTTGGCCCGCTGCTTTTTTTCTTCACAAACATTATCCAACGCTTCTCTCGCATATTTGAGTCCGAGGTTATCCGCTGCCTCCGACAAGTTGATATCATCGGTCTTGCTGCAGATAAAAGCCAGCTGGCCCATCACACCATCGAGCTGCAGCTGCCGCTTGAAACCATCCCCTAGAAGTGTCTTCGCTGAGTGACCATCGACAGCTCGGGTGATGGGTGCGACTACCCACAGACCAGAGCAATTTTTTATGTATTTTTGAGCCAAAGTTCCCCTGGCCGTGTTGACGTCCAGCAACCCTGGAAGGTCCACAAGAACTACCCCAGTGGACAAAACGGGTGCTTTGACATGTAGGCGCACTAGCTCGACAAGTGGCCACAATTGCACAGGCTTATTCTGTGGTATTGTATTATTAGTATCCATGATATCCTGGTCTGAAACTAGAGAATGTGGTTCACTATCCACATATTTTTTAAGCTCATTGTAGAAGTCAGTTGCATTGTTTCTAGATACGTACTTGGTTGAACCAAGAACGGCAGCAACGTTAGGGACTTCCATGATTTTTTCAATGGACATTGTGCGGGTATCCTCGGGATCAAGACGGTATACGGCTTTAAATTTGGCACATGCTATGCCAAATTCAGAGTCATAAGTGGAAGGAAGTTCATCAAGACCGTCCTGCATGTCTTCGAAGAGAAGACGCATTTCCTCCTTCCACGCTGACCGAGATACAAACTGAATCTCAGCCTCATAGTTCCATGGCCCGTGACAATATGAGATTTCTGTAATCGCCGCTGTGCATGCCCTCATTCCACTAGTAGGAACCAAACGTTTCTCTCCTAGAAGCGCATTTATGAGAGATGACTTGCCAGCACCAGTGGCACCAACAACGCCAATTGTGATTGTGGGATGATTCTTGCCTTGATCCATAGTCTCCAAGATTTGTTTGCGTAGGGCTTCATTGGCCCCAGTGGAAGATGGATATTTCTTCAATATGGTTTCCAGCTTCTCAAGGATATGGATGCCCTCCCTCGACTTTCCCTCCAGTTCCTCCAGTTCTTCATTGACAATAGTCAAGCTTGGCTTTTCTTCTTGTAAGATTTGATCGTTGCTTGGGGTTTCCTCTTCACTTGAGAAGCCAGCATCGCTGGAAGACGTGTCTAGCATGCTGATGTCATTGTAGTCTTCTTTGTCGCCCGGATGTACAGGTATACGGACCTCAAAGTCTGAGGTTTCCATGTTTAATCAATAAGCGCCAAATGTAAGAGGCATGTAGGTGACCAACAGAGGAATTGATGGATAATGCTTGACAGTAGAGAGAAGTAAAGTCGAAATATGTGAAGAAAGATTTTCTGAGGTCATAAGAGAAAAAAAAAATGAAAGAAGAAAATGAGCTCATAAGGTGAAAGTCTGATACAGTTACGCAGAGAATCTCCGGCGTAGAGAAGCAGTAATAAAATTCAGAGGGCGTTGTTTGTTTTGATAGATGTTGTCAAAACACACGTCGAGGCTTCTTTGAAGTAAACAAAGATGCACGTGACTGGTCAGTTAAGTTCGGCCTTATCTCCGAGCTCCTTTGAGCCTCTTATCTCGACATCGAACGCAGCTGGTATAAGAAATAGAGCAATCTTCCTTTTTAACTGACGTATTTCTGTCCATCTATGAGTTGAACAGATAGCAATGGGTTGATTCAAAGCATCTAAATGGCCCGCACCTGTATCAATGATACAACATAGATTTACGATAACCTCCAATACTAACATAGCTGGCTAAACGGAGCCCAAGGTATCGAAAAACCTAATAAGAATCTCTATTGAGCAGGATAAATAGATACTTCTTGTGGTCGTGGAGTTCTGAAATACATAGGGGACATGCAATTCGGATTACTGGCTAATTGCATGGTTATCTTAGCATTGAGCGACTTGTGTTTCTCTGTACGCCCCGGGATCGCCTGTCAAGCGAGATGCTTATAACTAAAAGACAGAACCCTGATTTCATAGCGATACCTTGGGAGTGACAACTTACCCGGATCTGCAGTTGTGGGGAGAGAACAGGGATAGCCGCGGTTGGATGGCTAGTAGCCACGATAGAGCCCCAGTCGTCTAATAAAAGCGGCTTCCTCACCAAAGCCACTCATTCCTGACGAACAACCTGTCTCACCATTTAGCCCCAGTGCTTGTTACACTGCATCGCAGAAGTCTTCCCAGTGCGGTGGACTACCTAGTTGAGAATACCATACAGACTATTATCTACCCTTTTTGTCTTCCAAGGTTTGAATCAAATGATACCAAGTTGCTTGCCCAAAAGGAACAATGGCGAAGAAATATCTTGGAGGGTCTGGTGATAAACTCACTATATGGATATCTATAGCTGCGTCTACGGTTCTTATATTCTACGGTTACGACCAGGTCTGTTTAAAGCTCTGGTTGATTCTATTCGACCCGTACTAAGATGGAGATAGGGGGTGTTCGGCAACGTTCTTATTGGGGAGGACTTCCTACAAACAATGGGCTATCCATCCACAAACCTACAAGGGACCATGACATCTGTTTACAATATTGGATGTTTCGTTGGTGCCATGTCAACTGTGTGGACAGGAGACTATTTTGGCAGACCCCGTCAGATAATAGTTGGTAGCACTATCATTGCTATCGGTGGTATCATCCAAGCTTCTGCCTATGGCGTGCCTCAGATGATGGTTGGAAGAGTAGTGGCTGGCCTAGGCACCGGAATGAACACCTCGACGGCTGGAGTATGGCAGTCTGAGACTAGTAAAATGAGCAGCAGGGGGAAGCTTGTTATCATTCAAATGGTGAGATGAATATCCAGGGTGCTTCCCCATAGCTATCCATCCACTAAGTAGCTGACTCGGCTTAGGCAAACTGTATAATGGGATTTTCTGCTTCAAACTGGTTAACGCTTGGTTTCTCTTTTGCTAAAGGGAGCGTTACATGGAGATTTCCTTTAGCATTTCAGGTGTTTTTTACCCTTTGCATATACGCCATGTGCCCATTTCTACCGGACTCTCCCCGTCTACTCATCCGCAAGGGGGAGTACAGCGAAGCACTAGAGGTGTTAGCTGCGCTGGAAGGTAACGGAGCAACGTCCAATTCTCATTCTGTCAAAACCCAATTCAACGTCATCAAAGATGTGCTAGATCGGGAGAATTTAAACTCTTATACATGGTTTAAACTGCTTATGGGAAAAGGCGAGTCTTCCAGGTTTCCCTCGGTGTATACCTAGCTAAGAGAAACATATAATAGGGCCACCTGGTGTTCTTAGGCGGATGATTCTAGGGGCATGGATGCAGGCAATGAATCAAATATCTGGAATCAATGTCACCTCGTAAGTATCTCACTGGGCCCGTTTTAGTATATATCGATATCTAACCTTATTAGATACTATATGTCCTATGTCTTCATACATGCCCTCAATCTCTCACCGCTTCTTTCTCGCATACTCGCAGCAGCTGGGAGTGTTGACTATCTAGTTTTTTCCTGCCTTGCCTACTTCGTGATCGAGCGTTATGGGCGCCGGAAAGTGATGATGTCTTCCTCTCTGGCCTGCTCAATATGTTTCATAGCCATCACTATCTCCCTGTCCCTATTAGAAAACGGGCATGGAGATAAGTACAAACTTGGAATAGTGGCTGTGTCGTTTTTCTTTGCTTTCTTTGCAGGCTTCGGTATGGGAGTACTCGGTGTCCCATGGCTATACCCAACGGAGATAAATGCCCTGGAAATGAGGACTAAAGGGGCGTCCCTGGCTATGGCTACAAACTGGATTATGGTAAAGCCACAATTTCTCATCCCCAATGGTTTATGTTCATCCTAACAAACGAGAATTTCACAGAATTATATGGTAGTACAGATCACCCTCCCTGGCATCGAAAATCTAGGTTGGAGATTCTGGATTATATGGGCAGTGATATGCTTTTCATTCATCCCGATCACGTACCTCTTTTATCCGGAAACAGCAAATCGAACGCTAGAAGATATTGATCGGTACTTCGAGGCGAATAGGGGTATAATTGTTGCATTTGATAAAAGTGAGGCTTTCGTTGTTTTAATTAAATACATCTATGCTAACCCTATTCCCACAGCTGCCACCCAACTTAACCGCCCCGATGAATATATTCGTATGGACGAAGAAATCTCACAGAAAGACACGGTAGAGAAATCAAGTGCCTCTACTAGCATGCGAAACAGACAATCCGAAGAAAAGAATAGTCAAGCATAGAAGAAAACATATTTCCGTGCTTTGCAAACACTGTTTACATCCAATCCTTGTTTGTCTAAACTAGATGTGCTTCTTCTCTATTCTTTCCATCGTCCCCTTGAGGATATATCATCTTCAGAGTTCTCTATAAACCGCTATATGGCAGTTTGTCTGTTTCTAGAGAAGCTGGCTGTTACTTTGTGTTTTAAGAATAATGACAATTATCGGCAAGCCATGGGTAGTCAGAGGACAGTCAAAGTATTGTTGTTTCATACACTGGAAGTTTGGCACGAAGAGAATGTTATTGATTCTCAAAGCCACAAGCTAATCAATCAATTAAAAGTAAGAAAATAGCTACCAATAATCAACACAAACGAGGAGCCGGGACAAAGAGTGAATTATAGCAAACGACTGCTTTGTAGACTTTATTTCATCCTCCCTAACCTCTGATATCGAACTCCACGGGTCCTCGGGACTCCAAGCCTACACTCATGTTTCCCTCGCTTCCCCACCAGCTCTTCTTTTCGTCACGTCCAACCGTTGGCTTCTTAGTAGCAAGAAAACCGTGCGGAGATCGACGAACAACTTCCAGACCTTGACCTCGCAGAACAACATTTCCACGCCGGAAATCCGTAGCAATGACACGGCCCGCCCAGGAATGAGGGTAAGAAATGGCCATGTTGGCCGAATTACGGCTGATGTGGTAGGCGTTGACTCTGAGATCCGAACTGGAACAAGGCTTAACTTCAGCATGGCTGGGTTTCTTGTTGAGAGCCTCCAGGATACAGTTCCATTTTGCCTGTCTGTTGGAACTATTGGAACGAGCACCTATGCGTATCCTGTGATTGGGGGTGTTATCTTGAGCCTCCGGTATGGGCTCAGAATTCTCAGGGGCGATGAAGGATGGCTCTGTAACTTTCAGCGATACATTACCTGAGCGAGTTTGTGTGGTTATAGAGACGCCGTCACAGCGCTTGCATCTCCTGTTATGAGGGAATGTGGTATTTTCAAAGACGAGGGGAGTTAGGTGAGTGTTGATATTACCGCTTCGAGTTGTGACTGAAGCATGGGTAGAAAATCCAAGGACGGCAAACACATTTCCACTCCTGGTTTCGATATCAATCTCATATGGGCGAGGGGGTAAAGAGGAGGAATTCGATTGCCATGAATGGTGATTCATAGCCGGATCTTTGAAGAAGACTTCTTTGAAGAGGGAAGGCTGAGGCTTTTCCAAGTCATATGTGGATAGAGCATCGCTGATGACTGCGGCATCATCGGGCATCTTGAATCTCACGAAGACATTACCGGTTCTCGACCTTATGGATATCTTTGCAGGGCGAGTTGGATCGTCTTGATGTGCTGGCTGAGGCACGATGGTAACATAAACGGATCCAGTTGTAGTCCTGAGGTCCAGTAAGTCGTATAGAGGGTAATTTCCATAGACCCAGGATTCCCTTTCTCTAACAACTATCTCTCGAGGAGACTTTGAATGGCAGCCAAAGCCATAGTTATGATATCCAACCGAGTGGTGATGATGGCGATGATGTCTCTGAGAGCACCTCAACGTTAGCCATAAGCCATGTAATAATGAGCTATCGAAACTGGGTCAAACTATGTAAGCCTGTGGATTTAACACCTTACCCTGATGAAGCGGACTGCGGCCCAGCGGACAAGCCAAAGACACAGCCAGACAATAAGGACTGCCTTCAAGGCGATGAATATCTTCACACAGCAAGGCCGCTCACGACGTTCGCCGTTCTCGCGGCGATGGCATCGGCGTCTAGCCCTCCACCAGCGACGGAATCGGCCTGGTCCTTGACGGCAGCTGCTAGACTCCTCAGGCAAATCTTCCTCCTTGACGGCGTAGTCAGCCTTGATGTCTACATTGAGATCCCCCTTCGAATATCCCGGAGAGCGGACGTGGTCACGGTAGCCTGGCGGCGGAGAGCTCGCAAGAAGCCGGTCGTTCTCACGGGCGTCCTCGATGGCTGCCTCCGTGTGGAGGTCTGGCTGGGACTCGCCGCTGTTTAATGCAGTGCTCGGAGGAGTATATATCTTCTCGTCGCCCATGACAGTATCTGAGTCGTCGGAGTACTGGGGCAGCAAGGGAGCCTGCTGCTCCTCGAGCTCTTCTTCCTTGGGGTTACCCATGGCTAACTAACTAGCTTGATCGTTCAATATTCGCTATAGCTTAAAGACGACCAGAACGAAGCTTCGAAGGACGCGGGCGTCTCTTGGGTATTGTTAAGTATATTAAAATAATAAAACACCCAGGCCGGAGTCTCGGATAGCCAGGCAATCAAAGGATACGGCCGCAAAGGACGCTGACGACGAAGGCCAGGCAGCCGCATTTCCCCCCAGCCTGGCCTGCCTGCACCGCCCAGGCACGGAAGATTAACCAACCCGGCCCTGCCGTGAAACGCTGACTGGCTGCTGCTGCTTTGATGACTGAAAAAAGGGCGCTTGCTAGAGAGTTGCTGTTACGCAAACCACCCAGGGGTGGTGGGAAGGGCGCATCCAGGGAGGATACCAACTGGATGTTGGCGTATAGAGTGAAGGATTCATTACAGACAGCATTGCGGATTGGGATCCATGATTTAAAATAGTTTAGCCGGACTCTAGGGGCAACAACGGTCGACGCTTATAGCCAGGAAAACAGAGGCCCTTTAGATGTAACTCCATGCTTGCTCCTTCAAGTCAGAGCAAAACGTTCTCGGGGAAAGTAATCAAGGCACTTTATCAAGATATTAGAAGCAAGTTAAAGAGGAGGCTCAAGACATGGGAGAGTGCAGTATCATTAAAAACTCATAACGCCATCGCTAAAATGAAGCAGATGAAATGCTTTGATCAAAGCTATCATGATACCTCCAGGGCGAATAAATAGGTAATAGGAGAGAAACAGACAAGTATTCAAACAGGATGACAAAAACATTTTCCTGAATAAAGGGGTATAGAAAATTAAAGTAGAAGAAGAAGTATGGCGGGAGAAAGGCTGGTGATGGAGTAGCAGATTGAAAGGAGCATCCCAGATATACCGGACAAGCCACTGATATCAATAGCCTAGGTTGCCGAGTATGGAGGCAGCTTCGTTGGCCGGTAGACCGCATACGCCCAGGGCACGCACTTGACTACCTTTTCTCAGACGCTTAAGACCAAGAGCAACCTTCCAGGCTTCGTTTTCATCAAGGACGAAGATGAACCGTTTGCCGTCTTGATCTCTGATGCTGGTTCGGATTATGTGCAGGCCGCGAGCTTCCGCTGTCTGTAGAATACATTGGTCAATACCACTGCCAGCACTATGATAAGAACTACTCGAGTCGGCAGCACTGCTCACCCCGAAACGGCATTTGTCTTTACAGGTGTGAAGCATTCCTGAAACGAAAGCATCTGAATCCTCGTTGCTAGGCTGCTTGGATGACGAATGCAAATTTCCAAACCGGAAGGGATTGAGCTTTCCATTGCTTGAGCGAGTAGGATGACTGCTATTGGCGGAGTGCAAAGGACACCATACCTCTATTAGCTTCATAGTCCATGCCTTGATATCCCATTCTCTCTGCGCTACTCCACGGACGTCATCGTCAACGAACATGCCTTCCGTTGTCATTCGCAGAATGAGTCCATCCGTAACTGAGCCTACTCCAGATACCAATTGGGCAATAGGAGTTTTCATGAATGCATTATTAAAGGTGTATACGCCGTGAATAACAATCTTGTTAGGATCCTTGGTGGAATATGGTCCACGTTGAGATGGAGGAGGTGAGGTGTTTGCAGTAGATTGAGATGGAGCATAAGTCGACTCTGAAATAACCGAGTCTGCCTCGCTAGGCCGGCTGATACTTGATCTCGGTCGGTCATAAGGGCGAAATGAATAGCCATCGTCTTCTGCATCCGTAGTTGCTGTCTTGACCGAAGGGAAAGGAGGCTTGCTCTGTGTAGGCTTTGGTGCTGGTCGCTTCTCTGGCGATGGAGACCTCTTTTCTGGCGAAGCTGTCTGGGATTTTGGCTTGACAGGAGAGACTTTGATAGTTGACGATAGTTTTGTGGTTGATGAAACTGATGGAGCGACTGAGGGGGCTGCGGACGCTGCAGCGGCAGCTCGTCTGGCCGCAGCAGCTTCTTTTGCGGCCGCATACCGTGCTGCAGCCTCCTGTCTGGCCTTTTCCTTTGCAGCCTTCTCTGCAGCCTCCTTTTCGGCTGCTTCCTGGGCTGCCTTTGCTTCTCTCTCGGCCGCTTCTTTGGCAGCCTTTTCTTTGGCTCTCTTCTCCTTCCACAGACGGTATTCCCGTTCCCGGTTCTCCTTATCACGCTTCTCTTGCTCCTCACGAGCTTTCTTCTCTTCTTCTTCCTTCTTTTTCCGTTCTGCTTCTGCCCTCTTACGCTTAATCTCTTCCATCTTTCTCTTCAACTCCTCTCTCCTCCTCGTTTCTTCACGAGCTTTCTCCCACTCGCCCATCTTTGGGTCTACCGTAGGTACTTCTTTGGGAGTTTCTTGCTTTGGAGGCTCGGGCTGAGGAACTGGTTGAGGAGCAGGCTCTGCAGGTTTTGGAGGTTTTGGCTTAACCTCAGGCTGCTTCGGGGGTTCTGGTTTTGGAGCTGCTGGCTTTGGAGGCTCGGGTTTCGGTTCTTCTGGCTTAGGTTCTTCTGGCTTGGGGATTTCCCTCTTTGGCGGTTCAGGTGCTGGAGGCTCAGGTTGCGGAGGCGCTGGCTTTGGCTCTTCTGGTACTGGTTCCTCTTTCTTTGGGACCTCTGGTTTTGAAGGCTCCGGCTTTTGTTCAGGTTTTGGCTCAGGTTCTTCGGGCATAAATTGTTGCTTGGGCGTCTCGGGCCTACGGGGTTCATGGTTTGGTGGCGGAGGTGGTGGAGATGCTGGCCGCGGTGCTTCACGCCTTGGTGGAGGCGAAGGTCCCGGGGATTCGGAACGTCGGGTGTCACGTCTATGAGGCTCTGAAGAGGGCGGAGAATTATAGCTTCCATAGCTCTGGCGGCTTCCAGGATAGCTATTCCTATTATATTGATGCCCTCCTGGATATTGGGGTCCAGCACCAGGATATGGACCTCCAGCCCCCGGATATGGTCCTCCTCCGGGGAATCCAGCCCCTGGATTAGGCGGAGGAGGGAACCCGGCACCAGCATAATGTCCGCCGTAATTTTGATAAGAGCCTCCGCCAGCTCCAGGCCCCGGGCCCGCTCCGCCAGGTGGTGGAGGGCCGTGTCCGCCCGGGGGAGGAGCACCTGGAGGAGGTCCCGGAGGAGGCCCACGAGAAGTACTTCCATTGCTAGAAGCGGTAGGTTTTGAGCGGGAACGTTGACGGAAAACTCCCTCGGCTTGAGCCTTGCCAATGGCCCAGCTGACAAGGCCAATTCCAAAGGCGAGCAAGAACACGCCCATTCCGCCGCGGGCCACAACAGTTGCACACCAGGTTTTCAGGGTGGGCAATGCGTTGAAATAAAAGTAGACGCCCATCAATGTCACAGCAACGCCCGCTAGGAAGCTGTTTGTGTGGCATTGGAGCGAGGGAAGGTATAAAAAGCCACCTCCAGCAGAATGAGGCGGGATAATAAAGATGTCATAAGGGCCCTCTGGCAAATCTGTGGATTTGCGGTACCTGCTGCCATCTCCAGGTCCGGTGTCACTCCGCGGGTTTGCTCCATGAGGAGGAGGTGGTGGTGGTGGAGGGCCGTCCATTATGCAAGGTCGCTGTCTCCAACACTACAGAGGCACAGCGAAAATTTAAGCCACCGCTTTGCTATGACCTTTCAATCTGATAATAAGCAGGTCCTGTACAATTTTCCGTGCACTGGGCTTTTTCCTCTGTTCGTCTTTTTTCTTTCTTTCTTTCTTTTTTTATACGTGGTTTGTCGTATAGATGCTTATTGCAAAATGTGCTGTATATCTCTGCTCATATAAATAGAAAATTCATGCATTGTGGTCTCAAATTACCACACAATGCAGTATGCGGCCTTTTGTGTGTATGACACCAGTCTGGACTGTTATTCCCTCCTATGAAGCTGTCTAGTATTTCCTTTAAATTGAAGGGAGCGACTCAAGGAGGTACTTTGGTCGACGTTTTCGATAAGGATGAGGGTGCAACAACGTCGTGCGCCGTGGTGCGTTCTTTGTGTATCAGTATAGAAGAGCGTTTCGATTCGAGTCTAAGAATTAACCATGAGTAAAACACGAAATCGCAAATTGGCAATGAGAGCAAGAAAAGACAGCGATATTGCCGGCAATTCCCACGGGGAACGAAGCAGAGTGGTATTTCAGCCTCTGGCTTACCGCTGATTTTTGATGTCAAATACCTGTCTTGATAGGCTGAACACACGTTGCGCACAGATACTTTGTACGAAGAGAATAAGATAGATCGGTATCTGGGGAGAGCGAAATGATGAACAAAAGGGTGAAAGGAATCGAGTCCTGACCCCGAAATCTGAGACAGTCCTGGGGCTCTGACTCTCTGGGGGAAGAAGTGGGAGTCGAAGGGGAATATCAAATTTTTTTTAACATGTCAATGTCCGCCTTTCTGGCGTGGAGGGAAAAACGTTTGTATTCTTTTCTCTTCTTTTTTTCTTTTTCTTTCTCACCCTTCTCCTTGTCTCGTCGTCTTTTTATGTGTTTTTCTCTTCTCTTCCCCACCCCTTTTCATCCAAGCAGTGGCCGCAGTCCAATCGGATAGCACGAAAGATCCCTGTTTGCCGGCCCAGTCTCCATTCTCAGCGCTGCTCGTTGACCTATCGAAGCCAGCCTTGACACAGGCCCGCGATGAGTGGAGGGATTGGGACACGTTGTAACGAATAACTGGAGGTGAAGGCACAACGGGCAAGGAAATAGTACGAACTATCATACAGATCTGGTGGGAGGCCACTGTTGACACCGATTATTTACTACCTTTTGGGGGAGCGGCAGCGTAGACATACACACACGCACACACAAATAGCCACTTTTTCTTGCTGCTGCTGACCTGGCTGTCCGTTTGCTGCGTTTCCTTTCTGTTGTTTGATGCACAGCGCAGATGCTGTCGTGTTGTTGATGTGATGCGAGTCGCATGAAGACAAAATAAAAATTTAAGGGAAAGGGAAGGACCCACTTTTTAGACGTTCTCCTCTGTTTGTTTTGATTTTTCCTATTATGGCTGGCCAAGAGCGCCTCTTTCTATTGGTCAGTTTTCATTTAGAGTTGATTAGTCACTAAATCCGGAAAAGTGTTATTCCCATAGTCAGATGACAGAGATGATTAGATAATCATGTTGAAGCGGCCAAATAGACAGAAACACGCAGAGATACAAGGCAAAGACGACATGGACAGCGGTTGGAGGAAACTCGTTAGCTTGTTCAGAAAGGGGACTATCTGTCTGACAGGCCTCCTGGAGTCATGCAGGTGTACTTCGTGACCTTCGCAGCCTCCAAATCGAACTATTTATCCGCTAAAAAACGAACTCGTCGGCGGGCAAGAATGGATTACATAAGCATAATTAAGCGGAACTAAGATGATCCTGCACCGAAACGCACTATGATTGGCCAGATCTTGACCATCTGAGCTTGCCCCGAGATCAACTTTTGTACCTGAAGTTGCTGCATGACGATGATGAAGCTGACACTGTCGACGTTGGGTATGAGGATGCAGGGCATGATGAGGCTGTAAACCGCTTTAGGTCTACAGAGAATTGTCGGCTTCTCCTTATATAGCCGCTATTGCCTGCGCCTCGTTGGATGTCGAACTCCCTCCCGCCCGAAGCTATCTCCTTGTCCCTCTTATCTATCACCGCTCAACAAGAACGAACGTCGATCCCCTGAAGGAGCAACCTACACAAGAACACCAAAGAAAAGAAACCCCCTTTTAACTATACAGGCATATACACCTCCCAAAGAACCTCTGTCGCCCTCTCTGGTCCTCTCTCTCAACATACAGCAATACGCAGTAACAACCTACAATCCTATCTTTGGGGCTTCACATGAATGCCAATCCGATGGCGGCCGCCCCTGTGCCGGCAGGCACCTTTATGGCCGGCACCAAGGTGCAGGTTGGAAGCCATCGAGTTGTGGTAGAAAAATACCTTTCCGAAGGAGGATTCGCCCATGTCTACGTCGTTCGACTCCCAAAGCCCGTTGACGGCGTCGAGACTGCTGTCTTGAAGCGGGTCGCCGTCCCAGACAAGGCATCCCTCGCCAACATGAGAACAGAGGTGGAAACGATGAAGAGGCTGAAGGGACACAAACATATTGTTACATACATTGATTCTCATGCATCACAACTAAAAGGCGGCGGATATGAGGTCTTCCTGCTCATGGAGCATTGCGCTGGTGGCGGCCTGATAGACTTCATGAATACCAGGCTACAGAATCGATTGACTGAACCAGAGATTTTAAAGATATTTGGCGACGTCACCGAAGGTGTGGCCTGTATGCATTATCTCAAGCCACCACTCTTGCATAGGGACCTCAAGGTTGAAAACATTCTAATCTCCGGGAACGGCCCTTCACGCTGCTACAAGCTATGTGATTTTGGTTCTGCAGCTCCTCCTAGACCTGCAGCTACTTCCGCCGCCGAAGGTAGACTGATCGAAGATGATGTCCAGAGGCACACAACCCTACAGTATCGGAGTCCGGAGATGATAGATGTCTATAGAAAACAGCCGATCGATGAGAAAAGCGATATCTGGGCCCTTGGCGTTCTGTTGTACAAGCTATGCTACTATACCACCCCTTTTGACGAAGGCGGCCAGATGGCTATTTTGAACGCAAAGTTCAAGTATCCCGCCTACCCACCCTTTTCAGATAGACTGAAACTTTTGATTGGTATGTTTGCTCTCGTTTTTCATGTCAAGGTACCTTTTTAAGCTAACATTGAATTCTTTTGATTCAGCCACCATGCTTAAAGAACACCCCAAAGACAGGCCTAATATTTATCATGTTTTACGTGAAACATGTCATATGCGAGGGAAAGAAGTACCAATTCGAGACGTGCGTATTATACAATATATCTAATATCCTCGCGTCTTAAAATTAACTATTCTCCTACGTAGATTTATGCCGACCGTTCACATTCCGAATCTAGACGAAGCCAGCAGCTACCGACTTCCACTCCAGTGGAAGCACCAAAAGTTGGTGCCGCCTTCACACCGCCCATTCAGGAAACAAAAATTATTCCAGACATTGCGCCTATGCGGAGAGGAAGGCCAAACAAGCCTACCGACCAAAAGGCTGCATCTAAACCCAGTCCTTCTCCTCTTAGGGTTTCCGGTGACCCCTTTGCGGCACTTGATGGAACTAAACGGAACGTCAGTACGGACGAACTCTCTTCACGATTTCCAACTCTAGATCAATTCTCCCTCCTTCATGAAAAGGGTGGCACTTTCAACTTTGAATCAACCAATACAGAATCGATTGCCAACCCTGATGATTTATCTAAAAGAGTCACAAATGCTCTTGCCGATGAAGCATTCTCGAAGCCTGCAGTGTCTCCACAGCCAAGTCCTACTCTTGGAACGCACCATACTACTACCCGGATAGACCCGTTAGTATCAGATAAAAAGTTAGTATCGTCATCATATCTAAGGGCGGAACCCTCTCGTCAACAAGTCCCTATACAGCAGCCAACACCACAGAAACCAACTATGGTATCCACTGGCACGATGACATCCCCCTCACCAGTCAACCAGCGACCAGACAGTCCCTCTTTATCCCAAAGACCATTGCATAGATTTCCGAGCCAATCACACAAGAAACAACCATCCGGAAGTTCTCGTGAGAGTAGCGGTCATGATCATCCCCGTCTGCACAGCGGCAGCTTATCGACTCGGCCCAGTTTTGCTAGATTTGACTCCAAACCTAGTCAAGCGGAGGACCTTCCTAGATCGCCGGCATCCTCACGGCCATCTTTGGAAGGTACACGGCCAACAGCTTCTGATATTGCAGACCCGCTAACCCGTTCGAAATCCGCAAACTCGAAATCTAGGCCTACTGCTGCATATGTCGCATCGAGATTAGAGTATCTTAGGGATAGAGGTCGTGAACGCTCGTCAGACGAGGATGAAACGTTGCTACGCCCATCCGTTGGCGAACATGACCTCGAATACAGCCAGCCATCCAACATGTCGGACGTTGATTTCCTTAAAGCTAAGGAAGAGGAAGAGTTGAGCCGGAAGCGCGAAAAGCGCTTAAGTGGTGGATCCAAACATGCCAAACGCGGGAGTTTGTCTTCACTTTCTTTATCAGGTACCAAGACTCTCCTCGCAGGCCGCTTCGGAGACGCTTTCCGCCGCTTTGAAAACAACGCCCCCCATGATAGGAATCAAACCCCATCTCCTGAAAATGACACCCAGCACCTTACTCCCATCACAGGCTCCGAGGTAACGGAGCTGAGCGACGATGGCCATGGATATGACAACGTTGACGCTGACGACATATCACCTGAAATGAAACGAGAAATGGAAAGACGTCGATTATCCATGGAGGAAAAAAGGGTTGCTGAGGCTGCTGCCCAGTATCGCTCACAGTTGAACGAGCGAGAAGGAGGCCCCCCGCGCGCTGTGGGACTAGGTATAGGAAGTGGCGGTAGAGCTGCTGCCATTGAAAACAAGGTTCAGTCTTTGTTGAAGGAGACGGATAAGGCACCACCTGTCAAGACAGCATCAGGATATGGACGGTACACAGACGCAGTCCCTAATCCACAGGCCAAAAGATTCGAGCTCCCATTACCAGAACGGCCAGCGTCATCTATGCAACCATACCCATCCGCTCCTGCCACTTCACATACATCTGATTTCCGGTCCCAACCTTCAAATGATAAAGATTCTCCCTCTATCGGCCTCAAATATAACACCGGGCAGCACCAGACCCCATCAACCACCTCCCGCGCGGCCCAACGCCCAGTAGCACCCCCGAAGCCCAAGAGTTTACGAACGGGAGTTCAATCAGCTAACCAAACCGGCAATAGCGAATATAACTCCCCACAACATCCCCGCTCGACCAGACAAGTTTCCAACTCTTCGGAAGACTGGGAACTAAACTTTAGCCGCCGTTACCCCAGTCTCTCTGGGCTCGAACTTGTAGAGACAGAGATAGACATACCGAAGGCTTCGTTGGGCCGTACCACAGCCACCACGGCGAGTAAGGGACTCTGACCAACTTGACCAATTAACTCCCACGCAAGTCTACGAATCGTCTACACCTTTGAATACACAATCTTATGAACAAATAAACCAAAGCATCCGCTATACCCTCCATTCTCGCATTTAGAAGCGCGTGGCACATTATATCGCATCTTTATGTTTTTGGTCAGATTATTCCCTATGTCAACTACGCTATCTATACATCAGGGGAAACAGGCGCCATTCCATTTTTCTCTTGTAAAGGTTTTACTTTCCCTTTTGGCTGTGATGCTGAGATGATAAATGATATGACGTGGCTTCTTTAATGTTCAAGCAACATTGGCAGCTGTTTGATTAGCATTGTAGCAGTGGCTTATTATCCACGGGTTGATTTATCTGACTCTTTTCCTCATTTCCCTAGGTGCAGGTGCGTTAGTATAATAATAATAATGCGCTGGCTGTGATTAGAAGTATATATACACTTACTCTATAGGAGGTTGATGATATAAAAAAGCATTAGCTATTTGGTCGCCCTGGTAGCCTCGCAGTTCAACAGACGAATATATACTGCGTAGCAATCCTAGTGTTTTTATTTAGTTTTCATTTGTTCTTATATATGTAGAGTGGAAGCACTTAGAGAGTATCTGTTCACTAAAATAACGCATAGGTATAGTACCAATCATCTCACCAAAAGAGACAGCAGCCTTGTGGAAAGTATGTAGGAGGAATCAAAATGCATATTAAAGATTAAACGAAAGAGAAAAAAGAAAAAGAAAAAGAACATGGAACGTAGTGTGGGCTAAACCATATAAAACAAAGAGAACACTCGCAATAACAGGATTAATAGACTGAAACACACAACATATTCTAGCAAGCACAGCCTTCCTTCGCACCAACCTGCCCTCTGTCTCGAAGATTGATCCTCGAATCGTCTCCAGGCCGTGACCCGGCACCAAGTCCGGCATTTCCAGACGATCCACTGGCCCCGGCACCGCCCCTAGAACTCTTAAGGCTTGCCTCGGGGATCGCATTTGCGATGGCTGTGAATACCTCCGCGACGTTGAAACCAGTCTTGGCACTGGTTTCGAAGAATAGTAGACCCTCAGCTTCAGAGTATAAGCTAGCCTCTTGTGTTGATACTTTTCTGGCATCGCCATTGGGAGAACCATCCCGTTCGTCATCTTGCTCGTCGTTTCTGCCGCTGCCCCCTTGGGTCTCTCCCTCTTCACCCTCATTGGCGGGGTCCTGGGCCTGCGCAGGGTCACCAGCTGAGGCCGATGTGCCGTCACCGCTTGTCAGATCAAGCTTGTTACCGACCAAGGCGATGACAATTCCGGGACTTGCTTGTCTCTGGAGTTCGGCAACCCAGTGTTTGGCTTTGATCAGGGAGGATGGTTTGGTCAGGTCGTATACGACGAGGGCGGCTTGGGCGTTTCGGTAGTACATGGGAGCAAGAGATGCGAAACGTTCCTGGCCGGCGGTATCCCATATCTCGAACTTGATTGTACGGGTAGGCAGGGAGCATTTTTGGGTCAGGAAGGCAGCTGTTTACGGGTAGGAGTCAGACAGCTTGATACGCAACAGGCAGCACTTTTGCGGGAAAAGACAGCGGCCGGCTTACCTCCGATTGTAGGTTCCTTGTTCTCCTGGAAGTCATTATTTACGAATCGCAGAACGAGGGATGACTATTTGGATGACGATAATCTTGTTAGCTGGCGTGATGGAGAGAGCGCCGCCGGGCAGAAAAGGCGGGCTTAAACCGGACGGGAAGCAAACCTTTCCAACTGCTGCTTCACCAAGTAGAACCAGCTTAACGCTACTACTGGGCTTGGGGCCGGGTGTCGAACTTGAATCTGCCATCTCTTTGGTTCGTATACGGCCTGGGACGACGGAGCTGTCTTTGATTTCTTGACGTCAACTCGGTCAAGAACTAGATTTCCGCAAGCAAAGGGGAGGTGACCGTCTCCTGTGAGGTTTCCAGGCGGCTGTGCAGGGTATATGTATCCGTCACAGGCTCCGAACAGTTCTTTCTGGCGGGTTTGTCTCGGTTAATCGTGTCTCTAATAGGGGGTGAAGGAGTGAAGGTGAGGAAGGGTAAGACGTTCGTCTTTTCCCGTCGACTTTGAAGTTCAACTTTTTGGTTGATGACGATGGACTGCCAGATATGGTTTAGCGCCGGAACAGGCTTGGCATAAAGAGTGTCAAAAAAGACATCAAAAGAGATGAAAACAACGACTGGACGGACATCAGGAGACGCGCAGACGTCGAGAGGAAGCAAGAGGCTTCAAAATACAAATCAGTGATGATCGATACGTATAGTTCTGTCTACCTATGCTATGCTGTCTAGTGCAACACGACGCTCCAAGGAAAGAGGAAAAGAGGGAGCAAAAACAAAAAAAACAACTGCAACAACGGTCTATCCGGTCCATCTATCCCAAACAACAGGAAAGCATCAAAAAGAAAAAAACTGGGAGATAGAGAACATCAGGGGGAAACGCAAAGAGCTAAAAATGGGGGAAACAGGGAAAGGTCAAAAAGCAGTCGCACGAGGGGGGATATCTTGAAAGACATAACTGGCAGGCTAAATGGGAAATAAAATGAGAAATGAGGTCACTAAAAGTCAATATTGGAGGGGAAGTCCAGCCCGGGCAATAGAAGTACATCGTGAGTCGAAGGAGAAGAAAAGGGTTATTAAAAGGTGATTAGAGGTAGGTGCTTTTTGTCAAAACAAGGGCAAAAAGGAACAGGCAATGGAGATGGGTGCACTGGTCGTAAAGGCATTTCTTCAGCAAAGAACAAAAGTAATGACAAGGCAGCACAGGTATCGTGAAGGCGAAAACTCAACTAGCTATCCCGCTTGCCAGAACACATCCCGAAGAGCGGTACAGAAATGCAAGAGGCACGCACGGAGGAACAAACGGAGTTATTCATGCTACCCGTTAGTTCCCGGGCCTTCTGCGGCAAGGCGGTTGTTGGGTAGAATTAGGCGGGACGAGCCGAAAGGATGTGCCATGAGCAAGCAGGAAGCCGATAACGAAGGCGAGTGGAAGAAAAATGACTGCGAAGTCAATGAGTCTAGATCTCAATGGTATAACCCCCCCAGGAAAAAAGCAAAAGGCGCAGAAACGACAGGAACAAATGAAAGCGAACAAAGGGAAAAGATGAAACCAAAAAACAGTTGTTGCCAATTCTATCCCATCCGTCTATGTGGTAAACGCCGAACAGAAGAAAGACCCAAGAGAGGAAAAGCCATTTTTTTGGAGCAAAAGGAGAACAAAGGAGGAAGAGAGACGAGGGGGCGGCAGGGGATCGAAACGCCGGAAAGACGAGGAAGGACGACAGATATTGTTGGGCCAGATCGAAGCGACCAGAAGAAAGAGAAAGCTGGTCGGGCTGTTTTGAAATCTCTGGTCAAGTAGTTGGAGGCGTTCAAAGGACCAATGGAACTATGCATGGTGCAGGGGGGAAGGGCGCAGGTTGTTGTATCGGGATGACGGGGCCGGACGAATCGGTAAGGGAGCGCAACGGTCCAGACGAACGGCCTGTCCTTTTAATGTCAACTGGAGGGGTATATTATTCCCTTGTCGTTCGTCTCATCACACAGCCCGGTAACAAAGAGTGAGCTAGCCCCAAGGAGAAAGCGAGGTTTTTTGCTCTTTAGTTCCGTGTTCAAAAGTTGGTTGTTGGTAGCCGCTAGGACGGGAAGAAATTCTGTTCTAGACCAATCATCAACCAGTCACAATATCGATCGTTTCCCCATCCCTTTTCCTTCGATTCTCTTCGAGAGAGAGAAAAGCGATGATCAAATAAAAAAAAAAGAGGGTGGTCGAAGGTACGAGAGGATCGTACAAAGGAGAGGCGTCGAAAAGGTCGAGTATTAAAAATGATGTAGAACAGAACGTATGCATCGATGGGAGCAGAGAGAGAGAGAGCGAGAAAGAGAGAGAGAGAGAGAGAGAAGTTGAGATATCAGAAAGATCGTCCTGGGAGGCGACATGTTACCGCTTGGGAGGCGGTTGAGGCTTTGGTACGCCGGTTGTGTCGTAAGCACCTCGTCCCATGTTGGTAGCAGAAAGATCCCTGATAATCATTGTGTTGACCTGGTTGTATGTCCAGTTAGCTGACTGAGGTCCACAGGTATCCATCTGGCAAATATATATCAAATGTTAAAGGAGATATTAATATCTACGTCCAGGGATGCTCGCAGCCTCACAAGGATCGGATCCTGTCATACCTCGGCCGCAGCACAAGGAAAAGAAATCCGCATGCAGGTATAGACGTATAATATAAAAGAGAACAGAAGAATGACTAACCTGGGACCGATGATTGCAGACCTGCGGCACTCGCCGGGGATTGGAGCTGAATATGATATCCCCCCCAAACAGGAAGATAAGTAAGCGTCAAGTCTCGTTGCTCCTCCGGCTACAGAGCAGCTTTTGGTTCGTGTTTTATATTATATCCGTGAATAAGTTATTTCCTCCCACGAAAAAAGTCCGAACGACCAAAAGATTGAATGCGTCAAAAAGGAGGGTATTGAATATATGGCGTTTCTCGTTTCGTCTGTATATTCTTTTTCTTTTTTTTTCTGCGTGACTATAGATGGTCACCGGGAGAGATCGGTAGGAGGTTCAAGACGATATTCAAATACTGCTGCTGGCTCCTTCGTCGAAAGGTCGGCGGTGGCGGAAAGGAGTCGAGAGAGGAAATAGGAGTAGATGGCTAGTAGAGAGCCCCCCTTGGAGATACTAGGGATGGGCTAAGGAGGAAGAGGTAGGTTGAGGATGAAGGAGTGAATACGCTTGAAGGATAGAAAATGATAGAAGGAGAAGAACGAAAGACGATCCAGAAGAGCAGCGTCTCATACTAATATACATTTCTCAGTCTCCCCATCTTTTTGATTCTCTTACCAAGTTGAAAAAAAAAAAATGAAATAGCAAAATAATCATTATCACTAAGAAAAGTAAGAAAGAAAAAAAGAAAAGAAAAAATAAGGACTTAAACCCCCTTTCAACAAACACTGTAAGATGAAGCCCTGTAACTCCATCGGTTTTTTTCCCTTGCCCTTAGTTATTTCTTATTATTGCTCCTTGCTTTTTCCTTCTCAATTGTTCCTTTTTTTTTTTTTTTTTTTTTTTTTTTTTTTTTTTTGCTAACCTTCTCCTTAGACTGCAAATTGGCCGCTTCTTTGCTTTTTCAGTCTGGCTTCTCTTTTGCTTCTTTGTGCTGCCTTGGAGAGAAAAGAAACGAAGAGAAGAAGCAGTCGAAGAAGAAGAGCGGAGGCAGAGGCAGAGAGGGAGGCTACAGAGGACGGACTACAGAGTATCCGTACATCCAGGGAGACGGAATATGATAAGATGAAAAAGCAACTGCAGAAGCCATCCATGCCAGCCCATCTCTCAGAATCGGCGTTATGGCCAGAACTGTTTCTCGCCGGCCCGCTTATTGAGTCAGTCCAGTCCATCAAGTCAAGCCAGAGTCAGAGCGAGCCTGCATGGAGGAAGAAGAAAATCTTTCTGTGACGAGCTCTCGCAGCAGTCTACTCTTAAGCAGGAAGATCCATATACTCTGCTCTGGGCTTAACCCTTCTCTCCCCATCATCAGAAGAAAACGGATGGCGGGAGTCAGGTTTGAAAAAAAAGAGGTGAAATTGCAAAAAAAGGGGCTGATGAAGAAAGATGAAACACGACTCTTCCGACAGAGATGCTGGAGCAAGCAAGGGGGTTTTTTTGAAGATAAAAAAAAAAAAAAAAATAACTTCAATGCCCATGCAGGATTTTCTGCGCTTTTCTCTGCTTTATGATAGGCTCCGTCCGGCAGGATTATCGACAGTATAAGAAGATAAACGCAAAGAGAGGCGAATGGGCGGACGTGTGCACCGTTGACTTGCCTGAAATTGTGCCTTGCCTCGCTGCATCTCTACCTTACCGGCGGGTTCGGCTTGGAGCAGAGAGGCCAACGCCTACTCCGTAGGTCAGAATCCAAATTACATACCGTGGGTGCCTAGGACAGACAGGGTTGGTTTCAGCGGCCGGCGCGGACGGGCGACGGAGGAAGCAGAGGGACGTCAGCCCGTTTCTTCTTCTTCTTCTTTTTCTTCCTCTCCTCCAGCTTTGATCGTGCGTATTAGTTATTTGACATCTGGGCGGTGGTCGTCAGCTTTGGAACCGCGCTGTGTCTCGACCCGCAGAGGAGCAAGAGCTCACGCGAGAAGTGGCTAGGAAACGGACAGCTCGACAGCTGCTAGAGGCCAGAGTGGATATCGCTGGAGCTCCCTGTCAGAGAGGGCCCTGGTTAACTCTGCTCAACCCTTGGTTCTGGTGCCGGGTGAGTTTACCAGTCGTCACTCGATTTACTTGTATTCAAAAAGTACGCCAATAACACTATACAGAAATTCAGAGTTGAAAATTTACAACGAATGGAGCATAATAGTCTATCATTGGCCCTGCTCCACTGGATCCCAGGCGCTTCTGCTGCCCCTGGCTAGCTCGTCGGTTTCAAAAGAGAAATCGAGCTGTTTCGGGAGGGATACGCCGTCAGAAACAGGCAGCTCGTTAACGACTTTGCAACAGGAGCTGATATTCGTACTCAAATGCATACTTACGCATCTTAGCTCGCCATCTTGCAGATAGAACAACTCGGGCCACACACAAAGAAGAACCAGTTTGCGATTTCGATCTCGCCCTAGAAGTTCCATGGTGCGCCTCACTTCTGTCCGTTGCGGCTGCTTCCAGCCACAGCTCCGTCCTGCTTGAGCTCTCGCTTCCTCGCTTCCTCCGGCCAGGGATGCTTCTCCTCCCCCCCCCCAAAGAGGGAAAAGGGAACCTGTCCCAGCCCAGATGAGGATTGTATAGCCGGATGTGCAGTCAGTCCTGCACTGAGGCTTGTGAGTGTGGCGGGAGAGGCACAAATACAACAGGTTCGGCAACACTCAACCCCAACCACGGGAAGGCTGTAGCGATCAGTCATCTTCGCCTTTACGCCGATCTCCTGACGGATCATGCCCCAAGAAATCCGATATATCATCTTGTCTCGAAAAAAAACTAGCAGGCCTTGCTGCTAGCCACTCGACAGATAGCTTGCATGGACAGACCACCTATTCTTATTGTCTCTCTTAGCCGGCCTGTCCTGTCTCTCGCTCTTCGCCTTTGTACATATGCAGAACGGAGAAGAGAGCCCGAGAGAAAGTCTAGGAGTTCGAGGAGGACGGTTGGTCTAGAAGCTGGCTTGCCGCAGCTGCAACTAGCGCGCTCCATACAGAGGCAGAAGTCTCCCGTTGGCTTCCATTTCTACTCATTATTATCAGGTCCAGATCATCGAGCAAACGGCTAGTTCTCTGCTCAACCTAATCTCTGGGTCCCAACTTCAAACGCCTGTGACTGAGTCAATAGTTGCTGCCTGGGCGTGCTATCGATGGGCCTGCTGTCTAAAGGACTGGCCCAGACGACAGCTCTTTTTTTTTTATTTGTTCCCGCTGCTAGCTTAGCAAGGATATGTACTACAATGGCGTAGGGGTTATAGGTCAAGTTATAGGGTCACACACCCACTCGTCAGTGCGTGGTGAGGATTGGGGGAGGCAGGAGAGCGAAGGGAAAGATGGCCACCGTTCTTAATTTCCTTTTAGGCTGCTGGCTGAGGAAATGCAGGCTACTGCAGAGCAAGATCGGTGGCCAAATGCCGACTAGACACCCCATCCAGCTTACTTGAATCATTAATGCTCGGTGACGATTGCAATAATGCAGACTATTGAGCATCATGCCAGCTGAGGATCCCCCAAAAGAAGATCTCTGCAACATGGCATGGCGGATACTGACACATTTGTTTCTACCAAAGCTGCTACATTTTGACAGATATGTATTTACCGTGCAGGAGGGCTTGCCAGATAAACTTGGTCGAGATCGAAATCCTTGCCTCCCATAACCCAGCACCAGTCGTGCTTGGGACGGTATTTCTTTTTTGTCTCTACATATACATATTTCCCTGCCGTCTATCGGCAGTTTATCACCCAATGGCTGGACGAGCGCAGGCCGGCCGTTACAAACGGAACCATCAATCACCAACGGTTTTGAAGTCGACCATTTGAGCTGGTTGCATCCTGGAGCAATCAGAAAAACCGACAACCAACACACACACACACACACACACACACACACACACACACACACACACACACACAACCGATGGAAGTGAGCATTTGAAGTTCTGGAGGTTGAGAGGCCATGCAGGAACAGAACCTGGACCCCCCCTGCGAATAACACCACCGGAATAAGAATATGTAAAGGAGCGGGCCCGCTGCGGTAGTGTAACGGCTCGATGGCAATTCCGCCCGCTTTATAGTACAAAGGACATGTGTCATTAGTCGGCCATGCCCTGCCAGGGCTGATGGATTTTTTATTCTTATTTTTATTTAGCTTGCAGCTTACGAGGAACCCCCAAGGAGCCCTTGTCAAACTTGCGTGGGAAGACATACCAATCCCCCCCTGAACGCTCCCACGGAATACGAAGACCGCGAAATTACCTCTGCCTGGACCGAGATATGAGTTATGAGTCGTTCGTGTCCTTCGGCCAGGCGCAGGCTAACATCCAGCTCATCGCCTCTGACTCTCAATCACACGGAAAAAGGAATAGGAACAGTGGGAGAATGCACACGTGGATACTGCATACACCCATTCCCGCTGTGGTCCAACATGATACATGTAAGAGGGTCTGTATTCAATCATGGTTCCTTTTCCTGATTCTTGATATTTTATTCTCAGGTAAGCCGTTATTATTATATTATAGTTGCGTTATGAACGGCTATATGCTTAACTTCGAAACCTCGCCTCTTCTCTCATGGTGCGATGCTAATCTTCCCCACAGGGCTCGTCATTCATCGTCTGTTATAGACGCCGGTTGTGGGCCCCAGGACGCGAACGCGGCATGGAAAAGGGTAAAAAAGGGGGGGACAAGGGAAGCCAGCTTCACGAGTGTGACTGTGACGGGTTCCTGGTGCCTTGGGTACGAGAACGAGCTTGTCTTCGTACTCTCCTGCGAGAGGGAGCTGCTTCCTGCTGGGTGGTAAGGGTGTGAAGGGATGCCTCTTCGTTGGCTGCACCGCTCTGTACACCATGCATAGTAACATTCCAGAATTTCGATTAGGGCTGTCAAGCGGGCATCCGGATGATTGAAGCCGTTGGGTGGCTCTGGGCGGATTTCTGGCCGCAGCCGGTGGGCTTTCTGCGGTTCTCAATTCCTCCTACATTTACTTCTCTATCTTCTGATTGACTCAATCCCTTCTGGCAGGTTATCCCGCGGAACCCCCAACGAATAAACGCCGCTAGAGCATGCTGGAAACCATCAGGGCACGCTAATCATATAAATGTCCAATCTTTCAGCATGGCTGGCTGTGGAGACAAAATAGAATGCAACCCCCATGCGCGTCTCGGAAGCTCCCTCTCACTAATCGCTCAACGAACCGATGCCGCTTGTCCAGCTCTTACTCTGCCATCCCACGTTGCACGCCTTACGGGAAGCGGATCAAATGGTGGATACGTTGTGTTTTTTTATTTTTATTTTTATTTTTTTTATTTTTTTCCCTCACGCGCAAGGGGAAGGTATACTCACGATTGTCCCATGCAGCCGGGCATTTTGCTTAACCGTAGGTTAAAAGGGCACAAGGAGGAGAACAGCACAGTGCTCCTCTCCTTACGCAACGGTCGGGTGATTGTCAAGACGGAACACAAAATGTTGGCTAAAAAAGAATGAACGAGTCCATCCTGGGCCTTCACTAGTGCCGTTTTGTGTCCTCGCTCTGGGCAGAAGTCAACCCCCAAGCCCTCAAAAATTCTACGTTGACATCCTCCATTCAACATTAATACCACCAGCCAGGTAAAACCCCTCCCACCGTATCGTATTCCTCCAAGGCCAGTGGTGGTTTGTGAGTGTGAGAGGGCGTCAGAGTGCTTTTTTTTTCGTACCCTAAGTTACCATCTTTTCTTTTCTCTCTTCCTCCCCCTCCCTTTGCTTTTTGGCTTGGTTTTGGCTCAACTAGACGCAGAGCCCTTTCGCCTCTTGTATGGAATAATTGTGGAATAGTGCAGCAATTGATGTACATTGCCTCCACTTAGCTCCTCTCTAGAGGCGTTCAACCAAATACCGTCACCCAGGATTTTGGAACGGCCCTGGAATCCACATCGAAGAAGGCGAGAAAGCCAAATTCACGCACTATGGGAATGCAGCGTGCACTGCGGAGTACTCTTTGTACACAAGTTTGTCTTGCTGTACTCCGTACTCCGTAGGACGAGAAGTTCTCTGATCCTCGTTGGGAAGTGGGAGATCATGGCCACCCCCCCCCCAGGCAGCATCAACCTCCCCACGATCGCCGAGGGAGGGCTTCTTCTAGAAGACGTCTTCCCCAATCTTGTGCCGTCTCAAGAGGGGGGGCAGCAGTTAAACCGAGAGCCACAAACCCATTCTAAGGGAGGTCCAATCCCTGTGCTCTGTTAACAGCCCATTAGCTCATATCATTCACCCTAGGGCCTTTTATCCTTCCAGGGTGAGATGGGGGCTGCTGTGGATCAACTGACGGCCCGGAAGTTGCGTATAAAAAAAGGGGCTCCCTTTTCCATGCAGCCGGCTTCAACGTTGTCAGATTGGTGGATTCCGGGCCTTGGTTTCATCTTGACGACTTGTTTGCGATATTGCTCCGAATCGACAGGGCAGGTCGACACGAAAGAAGTCGATTCGCCCCCGTTAGTACTCCGTTAAGTTACTTAAGCACAAGGTCGACTGATATCAGCTAACCCAGGTGGAAAACACGGCCAATATTTGGGAGCTGCAGCATGATTTTTGCAGAAGAGCCTCACCCCTCGCGCCCAGACAGGCCAGAAGTTGGTGGCTTGTGAACAGCCCTGGTCTGCTGAGGCCTGGTTGTCTTTTGATTTCTGCAAGGTACGTGTTTGAGCGTAAGCCAAACAAACGGCGAAGCTGCATGCGCTCCATGGGCGATTGATCCCACCACGTATTCACCAAGCAGCATGGCTGGCTGCTGAGTTGTCCTCACCCCCATCGAGATTGGCATCAGTAATGCTGCTTTGCGTTGGGCGAGAACGTCCTCTTATCATGCAGCAGCTACACGAAAACGCAGCCTTAACATCCACCGATCCTCTATGGTCGTGCGTCCAAGGCTTTATGGATTTCCCCCACTCCTCCCCCCGGTCCTATCGATATCGCAAATCAGACTGCCAGGTTGATGCCCAGTCGAAGGCTTTCCCACTGCTGCTGCTGCTGGACAGAGGCCACAGGAGTACCACGTACTGCCTTGCAGCGGCGTACGATAGCGCTTCCGGCTCCCAGGGACCTGAATGCTGGGTCCCCGGGGACAGCCATTGCTCGGTGTTTGCATGGCCAACCAGGTCATTTTTCGGGCGCCTCGCTGCCTCTGCTGCACCGCTTCTTTCCAATATCTTATCCACCGGCAGCCAATGGCTTGCGGAAGCCCACTTCCACGTCTTCAGTGATCTGAGATGATCCCCTCCACTAGTTTTTCTCTCCTATAGGAACTGCTTGGGTCTCGTATAGCGATGTGATCTCTCTCTGCAATGCGATCGACTGGCACATATTTATCATAATATCATCCAGTCCTGAATATAAACTCGGTCCAAAAACCGCTTTTTTTTTTTTTTTTTTTTTTTTTTTTGCAATTTTTATACTCCAGGCGTGTTCTCGAGTATCAGCCTAAGGAGGACCGTCAAGAGCATGCTTATATATATAGTTAGTACATGTATACTGCGTCCGCTATATATCCACCAGCTCCCCAGCGGCAGCGGAAGTGCCTCTCCCTTCCCGGCGGGTGGATAATCCTCAAAGATCCAAACGCTGTAGATTCCAATCAACTGGAAACCGCGGAGCAGGCTCGAAACCGTAAAGAATAGTCCTAAAAAGTTTTCTTTTCCGTTGAAATACCCGTATCTTCTTCTTCCTGCCTCTGAAAGCAGAGAGTGTACTCCTTACGACCTCGCGCCATGCCTCCGCGTCTCGAATGTTATATTCCATGGAGCTCAGAATTCGATTTTATCAAAGATGACCGGTCTCATCTGCGGCTGTCCTAATCTCCGGTCAGGGCGAGAGAACATGTAATTTTCGTTTCTTTAAGAAGATGCCAGCTATGACATCAATTCCAAGTGGCTGTACCAAAAAAAAAAAAAAAAAAAAAAAAAAAAAAAAAAAAAAAAAAAAAAAAAAAAAAATTTTGTTTTTGGTCTCTTTCCTTCTTTCCATCAGTGTCTTTCTTTTTCTTCCCGATATCTCCTGTTCTAGGAGTAATATACGGAGAATATGTAAAGCTGATGGATGACCCCCCTGATTTCCCACCAAAACCTGCAGCCTCAGATGGTTAGCAGCGAGAAAGAAATAGGTACTAGGGCAAGGATAAAACAAATACCCTCGTTACTCCTAGTAGTTAGTTGGTCTTTTTAGATAAGTTTCCATGCTGACCTGTTGATTTTCGCTGCCGCTATCAACAGGGAAAGGAGATCGATCGAAATACCAGTCTTTGAGTCCTGGCTGCTGGCTGTTTGTCTAGGTGCCTCCTTAAGGAAAAGGGAACTTGATATCAACAAGAGAGCAGATCTGTATATAGGTATCTCGGTCATATCCGTCCAGCAGGGCATTGGCTTACTATTCAATTCTGTGATAGCTAGCCAAATTGTCAGGAGAAATTAATATCAAGGGGCGGCCACAGACCGCCTCAGCTAAAAATGAGCAGCTGACGTCTCATTTGCGTTGAATCCCCTGTCAAGCAACTCCTGAACATCTGGCCGACAAGCTGTTCCCTCAGATAAACCCCGATTTTCTCTCCTCATTGAAGTAAAATCTCAAGCATTGCAGGGTACAGTATTTTGTGTATTGCCCTAGCCTAGCTATGTTTTAATATCATATAACCATGGCAACGGTTATGAGAAAATACACATACTAAAGAGGACTACAAGTTTCGATATAATCATAAATACCCCTAGGAAACTTGGCTTGACTGGCAACAGACCGGCCATGTACGCAGTATAAGGAGTACCTCTCCAGCCATATCAATCTCCAATGTGAACACTGCGTATTACCCCAGGATATTGAAGATTTAGGGGCTATTTGGTACGCCATATCGAATGATACTGTACTACGATCTCGAGCAGAATCCCTGGCTTGGAGAGCAGGATTGATAGTTTTGTTGGTCCAATTCATGTTTTACAATATTCCTGGTGACCTCAATACAGGAGAGAAGGGCCATGAAGTGTCAATGGATTGCATGCAATGATCCCAACTTGGAAGCGGGACTTGCAGCCATTTTTCAATAATTAAGCACCCAGTGCTAGCCCCTTGAATACGCCAGGCGTTGATTATTCGGATCTGACAGATAACAAGTTCTTCCCTTCTTTGGTATCTTCTCCCTAAAAGGACTCCGTATGTCGGTTCTGACACATTGTTTAATACTCTCGACAGCGGCATTCATTGTTCTCCTCCTTTGTTGGCATATTGAGGTACATCGCTAGCCATGCACAGCAACTCTCTGCCCACGAATAAAAAAGAAAAGTCCCTTTCGAGCCCTGATTAGCACGTTCATGCAAGATCGATGCAGGTGCACGCACGATGTCTTTTTTTTCTACCTTTAAACTATGCATCCGCGCCTGCAGCATGCCTGGTTTGCAGCGGGAGACATACATGATAATAATGGATCTGAGGCCCCCTTGAGTCAAAAAACCTGCCGCAGCCTGAGGTATCGCTGCACTGGGTTTGGTCTGGGACGTCACATTCCTGCTTTAATGCAAGATCGCTTTTTCTTCTTCTCTTTATGACCCTTGATACAGATCGGCAGTCAGGTTGTGATGAGAAGCGAGTTCCATCCGTATACACAAAGGATCGTATAAAAATATCAAGGCAGAGTCCAAGTGCCCAGATGATAGATCGTACCCGGATCCAAGGCTGCAGGTTCCGCGGCAACCGTTGTTGAGTTAACTAACGAAATAAATTACCGGATGAAAAAAAGAAAGAAGGAAAAAGAAAGAAAATTGGAAAAAAAGGGACGAAATAACGGTCTCCAATCATGAAAAGGATACGGGAAGGCTGATTATTATTATTATTATTATCGTCTGTTGAGAACACCCGAAAGGACGGACCACTGAAGCTCTCGTTGCAAATTGTCGTTATTGATTTTTGCCCGTATTTCAGGGGTAGCTAACCAAGCTATCAAAAATAATAAATATATATAAGCAGTCCGCCACTCGGCGCCTCTCGCCTATAAGGCTAACTGCCATGTCTGACAAGTGAAGAGACGGCTATTCTCCCCGTGCAGGGCGTTCCACGAAGGAATATAATTTTCTTTTTTACCCGGCCTCTTCCTTATCATTCCCCGATGGCACCTCTAATAGCGATGGATGAGGAATGACAGATATGCCACGAGTCGTCGTATGGCTTTGATAAACGTCCTGGCAGGTTTCAAAATAAGCCATGTCGTCTCTTACTGATGACCAGTTATTATCTGAACAGGGGAAAAATGATAAAAAGAAAGTGGCTTATCCGCCTCTGCAGCCCAAGTAATGGACCCTGATGCAAGTTACACAGTCAACCAAGAGAAAACATGGCGGCAAACGGGGTAAGATCGTGTTCTAGGAGGCAGCCGTAGCAAGAGTTGCTATCATTGACAGCTGAAGGGCAGGATGACCTTTTTTGAAAAACCGGTATTGCATACATAGGGCAGCTTGATATCTGAGGAAGATTGCTGCCGCTGGAGCCGCCGCGGCGAGGTATCCGCGGTTAAATATCCTGCACTTCCTGCACAGTGACGTGTGACAACGGCCGTGGCTCGCTAGAAATGCGCTGGCTCCTCTCTGGGAGGCTTGTTCATGCATCGATATGCCATCTCAAACTAAACAAACCACAGGAAGTGTCAGCTCATGTACTAGTCAGGGCAACCTCGTGTGACCTGCAACGACATGAAGACCGTGAAGGAGATTCTAGTTACCGCTTCATCCGTCTGGCAAATTAGAGCAGCAGGTCGCTGACCAGATTTCTCAGAAATGTCTACCACGGTTTGATCCTTTCTGGGAATACCGGCGGAATTCGCCTTGCTGTCTACAGCAATTCCAATACATCGGCATTTTTCTGCTATGCAACTTCTTAGAAGCGCACTTCGCTCGCCGATACCCCCTGCAAAGATAATAGCGTCTACCTTTCCACCCAGCTTGACGAAGTAATTGCCAATAAACCCAACAATACGGTCAACAAAGATGTCAAAGGCCAATCTGTGCAACTCAGTTGGTGGATTGTCCGTTCCGATCTTAGCGAAGTCGGTGGTTCCGGTCAATGCCTTCCAGCCTGACTTCTTGTTGAGAATCTCTTCAGCCTGTAGCAGCCAGTCAGGATAATGTCACGAGTTCAAATGGATTTGTGATACATGCCTTGCTGATATGCATCTCCTTGGTGCTTGAAGAACTTAGCTTGCTGGCTTCTGATGTATAGTGAAATACAAGACTGTCGAGCGGGTCAGCCGAAGATCATAGCCCTAGATATCAATGACCAACTGAACTCACCTTGCATCGATATCTCCGCTCCTTGTGGCGCCAGGAAGTCCGGAGAGCGGGGTGAGGCCCATCCTGCAATGCAATGCACATCAGCCAGGAGCTCCATTTCTAGGCTGCATATTATCTACTTCTTCATTACTGTAGCAGCTTTCAGGGGGTATATGGATTATGATCAGGACACTTGACATACGTAGTCTCTATCGATTTACCGTCCTGTATAGCACAGACGGAAGCACCACTTCCAAGATGAAGTGCAATTAGACTCGATTCCGAGGCTGGTTTGTGCAGAAACTCCGATACAGACCGCAAGATGAAGGAGAAGCTGATTCCATGGAAGCCGTATTTCCTCAACATCTTCAATTTAGCCACCTCCGGGTCTATAGGGTATGTCTTGATATAATCCGGCAGACATTGGTGAAATGTGGTATCAAAATATGCCACTGACTTTGCAGACGGAACCTCCTGCAGACATGTCTTGATGATTTCCAGCGCAGATGTATTGTGTCTAGATCTACTGTCAGCCACTTGTTGTCCAGCCAGCCCCCTTATAGTGACGGCCACACGTACAGCGGAGCCAGGTCTTGCAGCGTCTCGAGATAGCTGAACGTCCTTTCATGTATGACAACCTCCTCTTCTAGGTCTCCTCCGTGGACTACTCTGTGGCAAACATAAGCGTAGTCAGAGTTGCTGCTGACGACCTGCAGCTCCTGGTCATGCAGAAGCCTCTTGAGAATGTACTTGAACGCATCCTGCGGGCTCCTGATCTCCTCCTCGGTCTCGTGCTTCTGGTGATTTGAGCCATGTTCGTACTTGAAGACGCTCGGCGGCGCTGTCAGGCCGCTCACACTGGCTGCTGCAACTTCGACCGGCGGGTTCTTGAGATGGTAGACGTTCACCTTGACAGACGAGCTGCCGGCGTTGACAGAGAGGATGACTCGACCCATGGCTAGCTAGCTAACTGTTCGACCAAGTGCAGCGATAATTCCTATCCTCTGCCTTCCATCTTCATGTCTTACGCCTTTATTTATTGTTTCTAGCTGGACACTCGCTACTTATCGCATCTACGTCAGAATGTTGGTCGAGAACAGGGATATCCGTCCTACTTTCTCCAGCATTATGATGTCAACAAAGCTTCCATGTCTGTGGCGGCGGTCTTCCTTATATGCACCATGCAGTTTCGAAGAGGATTCCTGACATGTAAATATTTATTTTACTCTGTTATACCAGTAATTCTTCATCGAGACTCGCCTTGATAAATCAGTATCGGGTTGTTGCTCTATCTATATTGTCCCATAACTATACCGGCATCACAGACACCGTGACTAGTTATCAAGATGCCAGGCGAGGTTATCGACCGACCAAACCCGAGGCCTCCCCCGTCCCAGCTACCGGACTCGGTGGACGAGCTCAGGGTTCAACTTCAAACAGTCAAGCTGGACGATGGGGTCCGTCGTTCGTTGGAGAAATTCCGTCGAGCTACGGACTACATTGCTGCGGGTGGGTTTTCAATCCCAGCTTGTTAGTTGCCGTTGGATTGTGGCTGACATTGATACTGCGGAACAAAGCTATGATATTTCTCCAGAGTAATGCCTACATGAAACGCCCGGTTAATCCTGAAGATATCAAACCCCGACTACTAGGTACGTACGCTGAAACAGGCTCGCCGCCATTCACAAATAATATCAAAAAAAAAAAAAAAAAAAAAAAAAAAAAAAAGATATTGTCTTGCTGACGAGAGGAGTGGGAAAGGCCACTGGGGCACCTGTCCTGGTTTGAATCTCGTGTATTCCCATCTCACCTATTTGATACGATGCCATGACTTGGATATGTTGTTTGTCACCGGACCGGGACATGGCGCACCTGCGATCCTCGCCTCACTCTGGGTTGAAGGGTCATTGGGAAAGTTTTACCCTAAATACGCCAACAACACCAACGGGCTCACCAAGTTGATCACCCAGTTCAGTACCACTGGCGGATTTCCCAGGTAAGACGACAATATCAAGCCACAACCTCCTCGTATCGCGGACGTTAATTTCCATTGCAACCCAGGCTAATAAGTCCCTCTTAGTCACATCAATGCGGAGACACCCGGAGCTATACATGAAGGTGGCGAACTTGGATATGCCCTAGCCGTCTCGTTTGGGTCTGTAATGGATAACCCAGACCTGATAACCGCTGTTGTGGTGGGCGATGGGGAGGCCGAGAGCGGCCCGTGTACAGCGTCAGTCGATCTGAGAAACGGCTCACACGAGTTTCCATTTATTTCTATTATTTTCTTTGTCGAGCATGTTTCGCTAATTTTGCAAGTAGGAGCTGGAATGGTATCAAGTACATCGATCCCGCAGAGTCAGGGGCTGTCTTGCCGATTCTTCATCTCAATGGATTTAAGATTAGCGAGCGGACTATCTATGGATGTATGGATGACAGAGAGCTTGTCTCATTGTTCTCTGGTTTCGGCTACCAGGCACGAATCGTGGAAGGCTTGGATGATATTGATACCAACCTGAATAGTTCGTTCGAATGGGCACTAGCAGAAATCCGTAGGATCCAAAAGGCCGCCCGGTCTGGAAGCCCAATCATGAAACCCCGATGGCCAATGTTGATTTTGCGAACCCCCAAAGTTAGTACAGAGTTCTCTTGTATGACATGACATGCCCCAAGTGGGATGGCTAACGGCTCTATGTGTAGGGTTGGACAGGACCAAAGAGCATCCATGGAAAGATCGTGGAGGGCTCCTTCGCAGCGCATCAAGTACCGCTGCCAGCAGCTGGGAAGGACGACGAAGAGCTCAAAGCGTTACAGGAATGGCTTTCTTCATATAAACCGGAAGAGCTGTTCAACGAGCATGGAGATGTGATTGACGATATTAAATCGATCCTCCCCAAGGAAGACTCAAAGCGAATGGGTCAGCGAAAAGAGGTGTGTGACACTTTTGCAAAACTCAAAATGCCAGACTGGAGACGTTACACAGTCTCAAAGGGTTCTCAGGAAAGTTCCATGAAAACGATCTCTCATTTTATGGGCCAGATCCTGGTGGATAACCCCCATTCTATGCGGATTTTTTCCCCAGACGAGCTGGAGAGTAACAAACTTGGTGCCGTGTTGGAAAAGACGGGTCGAAATTTTCAATGCGATCAGTTTGCTAATGCCCGGGGCGGGCGGGTAATTGAAGTACTAAGCGAGCATATGTGTCAGGGTTTCCTCCAGGGATATACTTTGACAGGGCGGACGGGTATATTCCCATCTTACGAGAGCTTCCTAGGGATCATCCATACAATGATGGTTCAGTACTCAAAGTTCAACAAAATGGTACGTTACTGTAGTTGTTCGTTTCCATTCTCATCCTTCGAAAGAAGGCGGAACAGATGCTGAGGGTCTTCGCAGGGGATGGAAACCAATTGGCGCCGCCCTTTGCCTAGCATTAACTATATCGAGACAAGCACTTGGGCACGCCAGGAGCATAACGGGTTCTCCCACCAGAACCCATCGTTTATCTCCGCGGTTTTAAATTTAAAGCCCAATGCTGCTAGAGTGTATTTGCCTCCAGACGCAAATACATTTCTCTCGACGCTGTCTCACTGCCTGCAATCTAAGAATTATGTCAATCTTATGATCGGGTCGAAGCAGCCAACCCAAATATACCTGAGTGCAGAGGAGGCGGAGGCCCATTGCCGAGCTGGGGGTTCTATCTGGGGATTTGCAAGCACAGATGGTGGTTTAGATCCAGACGTGGTGCTGGTCGGCATCGGAACGGAAGTCACCTTCGAGGTCATCCAGGCGGCAGCCATCCTAAGAAAAGTGGTACCTGACCTCCGCGTCCGAGTGGTAAATGTTACGGACTTGATGATTCTTGGTTCAGAGAGGAGCCATCCGCACTCGCTCTCGGATGAAACTTTTGACGCGCTGTTCACAGCGGACCGTCCGATCCATTTCAACTACCACGGATATGAAACAGAGCTAAAGGGATTACTCTTCGGTAGGCCTCGTGTTGACCGTATCACCATCGGTTGTTACATGGAAGAAGGCTCTACCACTACTCCGTTTGACATGATGCTGCTCAACAGGGTATCTCGATTCCATGTTGCCAAAGCAGCTGTCCTAGGCGGCTCGAGGCGCAATGAAAGGGTAAGAATCCGACAGCAGGAGCTTCTCACCACCTTCGAGCACGAGATTCGAAGCGCAAGAAAGTACATCATCGAGAACCACAAAGGTAAGCCCAGTTATCTCTGCTCCTGCTTGGGTATTTTGAGAGATAGTCGGTCCACTGATAAGACTGCATGACAGATCCTAGCGACATGTATGACATGCCGAGCTTTAAGTAGTTGTAACAAAGTAGTTGTAATGCGTATATATAGCCTCTGAGAGACAGCCTCAACCAACAGCCATGGTCAGTGGCCATCTAATAAAAGTTAGATTCCCTGATATCAAACGATGTCTTCTTCTTCCTCTTCTTCTTCTCTGCCTTGTTGTCTTTTCCTTCTCGTCCGCTTCCGGCTGCGGTGCCCTACGCACCACGTGACTGACTAACCCGATCGGTAAGCGAGGGTTTGTCCCCACGAAAAAACGAACGTCTAAAAAAAAAAAATCGTGACTTTCGCGAAGTTCTGACGGCCGCAGTCAGATAAGTTCAGCATCTTCCGTTTCGACAACCACCACCGGCACCGCCATACGAACGACGAGGGAGCAGCAAATTAATCGTCCCAACGCTCTTGAATTTGTCTGCCCACCATGGCTGCTAACAAGATCGCCGCAAACAGTCCTTCGAGGCAGAGTCCTTCCGACCTCGAGAAGGCTTTGGCTACCGCTCTTAACGACCTGGAGACCAACACCCCCGACTTGAAGGTCGCTCTACGACCTCTCCAGTTTGTGTCTGCTCGCGAGGTAAGGGGAACATTGCCCTTTTTATTTCCCCCTCCTGGCAGACAAATATTCAATGCGTTGGTGAACTGGCGAATACTTCCTGAAGCGCGGAGCTGAGCATGGCGGTGATATAAAAGAGAACATGGAATAAAGGGATTGGAGGTCTTGTCGCATGATATATGCATGTCAGGGAGCTCAGGGGATTCAGGAGGTGCTCTCAGCTTGCTTAAGGGTGCTATCTGCACAGTTCGCCTGCTACCGGGGTTTATACATGTTATAGGTGGATATCAAACATACTGACGGTTGGCCGTATTGCAGGTTGAGGTTGGCCATGGCAAGAAGGCCATTGTGATTTTTGTCCCAGTCCCTCTTCTCCAGGGATTCCACAAAATCCAGCAGCGGTACGTTTGTTTTACATCTACGCAACTTCAAGTATGGGGACGCTCGCTAACATACTAGTTATAGCCTCACCCGGGAACTTGAGAAGAAATTCTCTGACCGTCAGGTCATCATCATTGCTTCTCGCCGCATCCTCCCACGCCCCAAGCGATCCACCACCTCCCGCACCAGCCAGACCCAGAAGCGCCCACGCTCCCGTACCCTCACCGCTGTCCACGAAGCTATTCTCTCAGATATCGTATACCCAGTCGAGATTGTTGGTAAGCGTGTCCGAACAAAGGAGGACGGCAGCAAGTTGTTGAAGGTTGTTCTCCATGAGAAGGAGCGTGGTGGTGTTGACCACCGCCTTGATGCATATGGCGAGGTCTACCGAAAATTGACAGGTCGTGGTGTTGCTTTTGAGTTCCCCCAGAGCGGTTCTTCGGAGTACTAGATATTTGGAGTGGGATCAGTCTCAAATGAATTAAAGAAATGGAGATATGATGCGGTGCTGCCTCTTTTTCTCTCCTCTCCTACACTGGGAATAATACCCAACTGAGGACTATGTTTACAAAACAAAAACAAAAAACGTTGTACACCACTAAGTATCACTCTCCATCGAGTCAATGAAGGCGTCGTTATTTGGAGGGAAAATAATACAAGCTTAACGACTTTTTCCTATGTACGGAGCATTACATCAGTTGATGAATCTATTAACTTCCTGGGTTTACATTCTCGCCACGCCGTCCATGACTAGATACCTATCTAACTTGGTTAGGAATGTCGTCTGTTGTAAGAACGTCTTGAGCTGGTAGGTTTCTCGCATGTTATAGACTTGACGGTAGTTGTATTGCAATGTCAACAAAGTATCACTCTTTCGGTTCGTGTATGGGTACTATATATCAGGGTATCCATGTGCTAGCCAAACATGCTAGCAAAGAAATAAAACACATCAAGAGGCATCAGCCTTAATCCTCCCTATCCCAAGTGTCATCCAGTATGCAAGCTCTCTTTTTACTGTATCTGACTCGCTTTTCTTGGTGTTTTCAGACCGGAACCCTAATTCTTCGTTCCCTCCATCTGTTTCCCATTCAATTCTCACAAATACAGGGATCTCAACTATATCTTGGTCTTCATCATCTGTATCTTGTTGAACTTGCTTATTTTTGCTCTTAATTGCACCGGGGACAACTTCCATAGCAACAGTGGTCCAATTGCGTCCCTTGTCCCAGACTTTGCCAGCTTCTGCAACTCTCTCAGCGCCGCCATGCCGGGAAGATCTCGGATCAGGCATATTTCCGGACTGGAGGGCCTCATCCCAGACATCTGTATTGGCGCCGACTTCAAGTTGGGGACATAGAATCGTTACCTTTGTAGAAACGGGCCCTGGAGTCACTGATGGAGTTGCGAGTGTGACACGGATAGGATCAAACATATGGTTTTTGAGAGTTAGGAGGAATTGTATAGGTTTCAAGGGCTCAAGTGCTTCTAGGTTGATCGGAAGAGCAACTGATGATGGGTACAGCGGACGGATTGAGGTAAGCGGCAGGTAGCTGAGAGCAATAAGTCTGATGCGGAATCTAGTAGATTGCGGTTTGACTTCCGGTTTAACGAGGATGTGCTTGCATGCTTTGCATCGTTTGGACCTCTTTGTGCGCAGTAGGACCGGAAGCGGTAGTAGGTCATCGACAAATCGTGTAGAAGGCTGTTGGAACTGCTGTTGCTCCATCGACGCCAGCCCATCCCACCCTTCGGCTGCCATCTTTTCAATGATATGATCCTCAGATCCAGTTGTGGGAATAATTAACCCCTCTGCCTGTGTCAAAGCTTCACGCATGACTGGGGGTTTGGATTTGCTCTTTTTATTATTCCCATGCATTCCAACGCCTGTATTGTAAAGGGACATGATACGGCTCAACGCATTGGGGGAAGAGTATAACCCAAAGTCACCTCCTATCAAGTGATCCGATGGTGACGATGATGTCTCAGCAATCTGAGTGCGGTAGAAATTCTTTAGGGCCGTAAACCTGGCATCATGGCCTAACGCAGGCTTGTTGTCAAAGGACATCGGACTTCCCAACTTCTCATCTTGCTCTTCTTCTGGTAGGCTAGGTGTAGAGGCAAAGCTCGCAAGCGGTGATTTGAACTGTGAGGCCCTGACTTCTGAAGGTCTTCGGTTCGCTCCATTTTTTAGAGACAGTAGTTGAGCTCGTATATTGGTTGGCTTATCGAATTTTATATCGATATCAAGGCTTGTCCACATGCAATAGCTACAGGATAGAATCCAAGGACCATTCTGGGATGCCCCATTCTCCGCATTGTTCATGGTTGTGATTGTTAACGGAGATGTGCAAATGGGACAATTGAAGCAATTACGCGCACATCTAGGCAAATTGTGCTCTTAGTACTATAATCCCGTGTTTATATAAGGGTATAATTCGTACCTGTTCCCATCACTCCTTACCATGCTGCTCGGAGTTTCAAATAGGCAATTAGGGCAATACCAACAAACGATCTCTTCTGTTATACATCTTGCGCATTTTATCTGATGACAGTCTTCGCAATATAGGAGGTGTTCTGGGGGGTATAGGGAGTAGTTTGCGCGACGTGATCTCGGGTCAAACGTCCGCTCGTCTTCATCTGAATCTGAAGCCTTAAGACTCAGGCTGGAAAGGTCCTTAGAGAGCCGGTTTGAAGCTGGCGTGGGGCGAGGGCTATCGACGCAGGGGCATGATATGAAGTTATATGGGAATGGGCGCGCCATTATGAGCGAAAGAAGAAGATGCCGTGTTGGAGAACAGATGTCATAGCATAATCAAGTATAATTCGGTCTATCGTACCGTGAGAAGCCAATTTCGCATAATTTATAGGAGCTGTTTATGCTAGAATCCAGGGGTGTCAGCAACGGCTGTTCAAGATGAAGTTGAAGAAGTGACTGACCGGCCTCAGTGTAATATAGAATGGCCTCTAAAACGCGCCTGGTTAGATATTTGGAATCTCTTATGTAAAGAGGTAGATCCAGCTGTAATATGTGATTTTGCTGGCGTGTTGACCAGTTCGTTGCTATTTTGGCGTTTTTGGGGACGATGAGATCACCTCGGATTTTTTTCTATGTTGACGATTTCGCGCTTGCATCAAAAGCTGCGGCGTTCAGCTTCATTCCACCTCCGGGCACACCAGCGAGACCAGTGCTCTGGAGGCGACTATGCTCAGTGCAATTGAACTGATGATAAACGCTTGTCAAGGAAAGAAGAAATAATATCACGATGTCTCTCCGCCCATGTCTTCGCAACCCTTTGCTACGGCGAATCAGCCCTCTATCGAGAGCCTATGCCGTTCAGACTCCAGGAAACCCGACTCTAGAGGTCTTCAATAGAAGAACAAAATTGTTACAGAAGGATAGAGCAGCAAAGAATGTGGATACCAGCCGGCAGGTTGATTACCTGAAAGACGAGGTTGCAATGCGACTGAGTGACAGATTGCTGGTGGGTTATCTTCGTCACCGGCATACCATTGCGCTCCTGATACTATATCACAGTCTGCTTATGGATCTTGAATGGTTAGGATATCAAAAGACATTTCCCAAACGTCCTTGACCTCGGCGCAAATAGCTGCAACATAGCTCGAGCCTTAACTTCTACCCCAATATCAAATGGCGAAGGCGGCGCAAGCACGAGAACTGACGAGACAGTTGCAGACAGAATATCAAAAATAACCTGCATTGAGGAATCCCGGAGTCTGCTCTATCGAGATAAATCTCTCCCATTTAACTCTCAAATATCCATAACCCGCGAGGTTATCCCGAGCATTGAAAATCTCCCTTACGAACCAAACACATTCGATGCAGTTCTTTCGTCTCTATCAATGCACTGGATAAATGACCTGCCGTCCCTCCTCGCGCAGGTAAATTCTATTTTAAAGCCAGATAGTCCGTTCATGGCCGTGATGTTTGGAGGGGACACTTTATTCGAATTACGCACTTCCTTGCAATTAGCAGATCTCGAGCGCAGAGGTGGTGTAAGCCCTCATGTATCTCCGCTTGCTGACGTACGAGATATTGGCGGATTGCTGACCAAGGCTGGGTTCAAATTGCTCACAGTCGATGTGGAGGATATCGTGGTGGAATACCCTGATACCTTTGCCCTCATGTCAGACCTCCAGGCAATGGGGGAGAGTAATGCAATCTTGCGGAGAGAAGCCGGGCCAATTTCTAGAGACGTTCTATTGGCGAATGAGGCAATATATAGAAGCTTACATACGGAAGAAGGTGAAAGAAATATACCTGCTACCTTCCGGCTGATATATATGATAGGGTGGAAAGAAGGAGAGGGACAGTCGAAACCGTTAGAGAGGGGCAGTGGACAGTTTAATCTCAAAGACATCATTGGGTCAGAATAGGTGTAGATCCCTAGATAGTGTACAATACCGTAACCTTTGTATAGAATAGAATAGAAGTAAGTCTTCTAAAAGTATGTTTACTCCATCGAAAGACGGTTATGCATGACCTATATCGCACATAGTCTATAAGGGGCAGTGGAGATATCACAGGAACGAGCTGCGGTGCTTGGTTAAATCACAATTCCGTAGAGCATTCATCAAGGTGTTGCAACATAGTATCCCGTAATTATTAAAAGAGGCGCGTGTTCGTAAAAGTACCATTAAACGGTCCTCCTGTCAGTCATAACACGTACAATTGAACCAACCCCAACGATTTCAACTAGTTTCTCATGCCAACTCAGTAGCACGCTCATCTGTTGGCCGCCACCGCCTTCTCCAAGGTTTCGACCCTGTATTTGCGAAAATCCGGTGCTCTGTGGAGATACTGACTTTGAGCCGGCATCACTGCTAGTCGGCACAGCCATGCCCTTGTATCTGTTCATGAAGACGTTAATAACGGGATTGATTTTCTGAAGGCAGCTGAAAAAATGAAAAAAAAAAAAAAAAAAAAAAAAAAAAAAAAAAAATATTGAGGGGAATATGGAGGAAAAAAGTGACGTACAGGTACTTCATCAGACAATCTCCCCGTTCAGCACCTCCTTCACCGTTGCATACTGCCTCCAGCACTTTTGTCATCTCCGTCTGCCGTATACCCTGTAAAACCTCCACAACAGAAGCAAGGTGAACCTCCTTTGCCCTGTCATCGCCACCTAGCGGAGCTGAATCGAGAACATGGCGTAAAGCTCCTTCTGTGTCCCCAGATCGAAGCAACTGTCTGATCTGTGATCCCAGGCTTGCTGCCGCGCTGGACGTTGTTGGCGGCGGTAGGTTTGAAGGAAGTAGAGAAGAAATTGGGAAATTGGCGGGCGACTCCGGATCAAGGCTGTCGATATCAATGGTTCTGTAGTTTGTTATCTGTGGCATTGTGAACCGTGGTATAGAAGCAAACGTCAAGTATTGTATCGAGTGGAGGGGTCCGGCGCAGGCTTCGAGGATTTGAGGACAGGAAGGTTAGAGGCCAAGAAAGTACCCGGAATAAGCCAGTAATGATGGTAGGGTCTGAAATGGAGGGGATAGGATCGGTCAATCAACAATATGATGGTCTTCGGTGGTTTTGATGTCTGCCTCTCTACAGCTCTTGGTGAGTTGACGCCAGGCGGGATGTTGTGGTTTGTGCCAAGACTTTAAATGGTGTGGCAATGCACGCGGCACAGGAGCATAACTAAACTACTACATAGATAGGGGTGGAATTCGATAACGAGAGCTACGAATATGGCTGGATGAAGAGTACGATGGTCGACGATGAAGAGACGATAAAAATAGCCTGAGATTCTGGTATATAACTTCCTGGGTTTGTATAAGGCCCATAGGGCAACGGGAAACTGTATATGTCGGTTAATGCCACCCAAAGAACGCCGTCGCTATGCATCAAAATGGGGAGAGAAAACAGTGAAAACGAGCGGTTTTCGAAGATGCAAGAAAGCAAAAAAAGGCAAAAGCCCGCGAGGGAGCATCTCTAAAGCAGATAGATGTAACAGCCGTTTAAACGATCGTGAAATGCATGGATGGGAGCCGCCAAAAAAGGAATCAATCATAACGCTGTAAGCGCTAAAGGATAGGTCGAGAGGTGTGTAGCGGTTAGAGATATAGAAGAGAGAACTGTAGACGTATTAACTGGGGGGTACTGTGAGGGTTATTGGCGGAGGGGCGATGGTAGGAGGAGCAACGAAAGGAGAAGTGGTATCTGCTTGTTTCTCAATGTCACCGGTCTCTTCATCTCGTGGCGTCGTTTCATTCAACTCTTCAGCCTGCTGATTTTCTGTCTGAGCTTCACCTTTTTTGTGTGCAAAAACACGACGGAAAGCCTTGGTTATTGGGGTGAAGATAACACGGAAAGCCTTTGCAACCGGCTTCCAGAAGAAGTTGAAGCTGATAATGACCATGTTCATCACGACCTCGAAGTGTCTGTCCGGGAGACAGCGGACGATCACGGCCCATAGGAGACAAGGCAAAGAGGCTCCGATGCAAATGGCCCATTGCACTCCTGTGAGAGCTTTGACACCGATAGCTGCACCTCCAACAAAAATGATCATGATTTGGCCACCGATCATAATGGCATTGATGCCCAAGAAGAAATAGTTCTTGAGCATGCCCTCAAAGATATTGAACTTGTTGTCAAGACGACGGTTGTTAAACTCGTTGAAGATTTGCATCCAAACGAAGGTGTTGAAGACGATTGTGTCCATTTGACCAGCAAGAAGCCCGCTAGGGTCATTCTCGAGATCATACCCAAATATTTTGGCTCCAGCAAAATAGAGTACAAGCGTCACAACGAGCTGGTAGATGGCTTGTCCAATTATCATCTTCCACATAGTAGTGGTGAAAAGAGGAGCGGACTTTGGAGACGGTTTGCGGTCAAGAATCTTTTCCGTAGGAGCATCGGTAGCACTAGATAAGTTAGTAATAATATATTGGAAAGGATTTATTGTGGGGCTTACAGTGCGAGAGCAGCGAAAGTATCCATGATAAGGTTAACCCAAAGAAGTTGAACGGCATTTAGAACACTCTCTCCCTTTGAATTAGCGAGAGATGAGACGAAGGTCAGCACAACAGCTGTGATGTTGACAGTTATTTGGAACTAGTGGTCATCAGTATTGGTGTATAGAGAAAGTGGGTGTATGGAGAAAGAGACGCAAAAAGAAACTAACCTGCAAAAATTTTGCAACAGCATCGTTTACAGCTCTTCCCCAGGAGATAGCGGTCACAATAGACTTGAAATTATCATCCAAAAGGATAATGGAGCTGGCTTCCTTTGCAACTTCGGTTCCGGCAATGCCCATGGAGAAACCAACGTCAGCAGCCTTAAGTGCAGGACCATCGTTGGTACCGTCACCTGTCACAGCCACAGTCTCTCCAAGATGTTTAAGGCGGCTGACGAGGATGCGTTTATCTTCAGGCGAGGAACGGGCCAGAACCTGCAAGTTTGGAAGCACACGATCCATTTCCTCGTCAGAAAGTTGTCTGAACCTGGGTCCTTCCATTGCAACACCATCAGGAGTTTTGATACCACATTCCGTTGCAATTGCCACAGCAGTGGTCAAGTTGTCACCTACAAGTATGTAGTTAGCAACCCCAATTTTCTGGTGAGATAAAATAACACGATGACTAACCTGTAACCATTTTCACACTGACACCAGCCTTGTTACACTTATGTATGGCGCCAGGAACTTCGTCTCGAAGGGGGTCCTGAATACCAACAACACCGACCCAAGTCATGTTGTTGAAAACGTCGTTAAATTCAGCACATGACTTATCCTCTTCCATAGTTTTAGCACCCTGCGGTGGCCAACATTCAAAGTCCTTATAAACCATGCCGATGGATCTCAGGGAACGTTTCGCGTATGAATTGATAATATCAAGGATTTCAGATTTAGCCTTGGATGAGAGAACATTGGATTCAAGCTGCGGCGTAGAGAGTCCCGAAATGACTCGGCTTGACTGGTAGAGCATGATCTCGGCAGCACCCTTGACTAGTAGTCGGAAGGTTCCGTCTAACTGACGAATAACAACTCCCATGCATTTGCGAGCGGAATCAAAGGGAATGAGCTGGACGATTTCGGCACTGGCACGTTCCTCAGTTAAGCTCAATCCGAGGTATCTTTGGGCAAGATGAAGCATGGCCACTTCTGTTTTGCTTCCAATGAATGTTTTCTCTCCGTTCTCTTCGCCTTCGAAGGCAGTAGAGTTAAGAGCAATGCCTTTCATTACTAGGTCCCGAGCAGCAGTAGAGGCTTCGTTGAACATCTGAGTAACAGTAGATGGACCCTCGCCCTCCGCTTCTGGGGTGCGATCAAAAGTGTCTCTCATTCCGAAGGTTCCTGTAACAACAGTCATTTTGTTCTGTGTTAGTGTACCAGTTTTATCTGAGCAAATGACTGTGGCATTTCCCATAGTTTCGCAAGCACGAAGAATTCGAACAAGATTGTTTTCCTTGACCATTCGGCTCGTGGCGAATGCGAGTGCCAGTGTGACGGCCAGTGGCAGACCCTCTGATATAGCAGTTAGTAATGGCTAAGGGTGGAGGGGATGTAGCGAACATACCTGGAATTGCAACGACGATAACAGTAACTGCGACAATGAGAATATCCAAGAATTCTTTGCCTTTCATGGCAGGCGAGTGGTGATTATCCGGCAGCTGGGCCAAGAATCTGAAGAGCAGCGCAAAGAACAATGTGCCGGCAGCACTATCAACATGTTAGACACTGAAGAAGTAGGAAAAAGTGCCAAGATAGGATATACTTACGCCATTCCAAGGCCACCAATCCAGTCGGCAAGGTTTCCTAGCTTGACCTGAAGTGGTGTAGAATCATTTGAAGTCTGAAGTGAAAGCATGATCTTGCCGTAGGATGAATTTGGCCCAACGCTGGTAACAAGGTATGTTCCAACACCTTCAAGAACTTTGCTGCCAGAGATTATGAAGGGATCGAGCTTCTTCGTAGCGGTTCCATTGTTGATTCGATCCCAAACTTCGTGTCCATCTGTCTTCTTCATCTGATCTGACTCTCCAGTTGCAGAGGACTCATCACATCTCACGCCATGGCCAGATAGGAAAATACCATCTGCAGGAATAGCATCACCAGGTTCAAGATGAAGAATGTCACCTACAGTGATGTCGAAAATGGAAATCATAATAGATTTTCCCGAACGGATAGCTTTAACCTCACGGTCATTTTTCTACATTACAATTAGTTAGCCGTCCGGGAATACTCGGGGATTAGCTACACAAACCTTCTTATTTAATTTGACGAACTGCCTTTCCTTCTGCCAGTCATTAACCGCAGTAACAATAGTGACAATAAGAATAGCCACGCAAATTGCAACTCCTTCAACCCAGTCAACGTTGCTCCCGCCGCTGAAAGTTTCATATAGGCCAAGAGATAGCGAAACAACGGCAGCAACAGTGAGAAGAATGATGATTTTATCGTTATAGGCTCTCCATAACAATATCAGAAAACTGTCGCTTTTCCGTTCAGGTAGCTTATTGCGATCAAAAACTCGTATGCGGTCCGTAAACTGGGCTCTGCCGCTAGATACTGAGTGCTGAGGGGTCGGGGCAGCGGAGTGTTGATGTTTTGTTGAGCTGCTTTGTACAGCTTCCTCAAAGCTAATGGAGCCTTCAAGGTGCGTCTCGTCAAGTGATAGACCAGCTGTTAAATCCGTTCTCAGCCCTTTCTCGAGCCCCTTCAACCCACCCAGGGCTTTGAAGGCAGCTAATGATTTCGGATTCAACAGTTTGTTCAGCTGGCCAGGCGAAAATGCGAACGGGTTGTTTTCGACCTCGAAATCCCGCTTATTGCGCTCGTCTGGCTTTAAGGCTTCAGATAATGGAACGTCGTCATAGTCGGCGCCATCTGGCCTGCTAGGTGGTTTAACTGTCGAGCCAGATCGTGATCGAAGGGTGTCTACATTCGAGTTGACTGAGTTTGCCCTTGACCGAAGAGTCTCCCCGTCAAAGGAGTTTGGGCTTCGGGGGAAGAGAAACGAGTTCGCATCGTTAGATGATGACGGTCTGTCTAAAGATAGTTCCTGTGCAGCAGTAGGGCTTAAAGGGCTGATAGGGTCTGTTGAAGAGGATGTAGCGTTGTCGTACTATAATTTCGTCAGAATCGAGGCCGCATGCCAATGTACAGATATTCTTATGGTACTTACATGTGTGTCTATCGTTATAGCTGGGGCGAGCAACCGGTTGTTGTTCGCCATGGGAAAAGTTGAGGTCGATAATGTGGTTGACCTCGAAAGATATTATCATGTAAAAGGACAAAAGGCCGTGATATAGGCGTAACGGAACGGAAAAAAAGGTGTAAAAAATTATCGCTGGGTTCGTAAAAGTAACGGGAGATATAACAATGTCCGGAATAGGCTGCTGGTGGTCTGATCTTTATGACACTCTTCCAGGGAGATAGCCTCTATACATACACCTCCAACAACGAAGGTGAAGGCAATGTTGATTATGTCCCCAGCCGCGCTGGGCTTGAGGGAGCTCGATGTCAAGAGACTTGGCTTGCCGCCAGAGAACCCCCTAGGTTATCATGCGGTGGAGGCATTCATCTCCTGCCGTTCGGGGATAAGAGTTTCCAGCGAGGCAGTGCAAGTCTTGGGCGCCCCAGCGTCAAACGACCGCCACTAATAAGGCATCCTGGCTTGGGTAGCCCCTGCTGATTAGGGTACAATTGTATTTGAAAATCCTGAAATCCTCGGCCGTACGGCGTACACGCTGATGGGCGCAGTTGCAATGTCAGCCATCATGTTCTGTCTGGTGTTTGGTAATCTCGACGTCGCAGCAAAAAACGGGAGATTTTGGATGTTTCAACATGGCGGTTAGCATGAGGTTTCGGGAAGTCGATGGATCTCATCTTGAACTCTGCTACTGCATGGAGTGGGCCGGCCAATAATATTGGACGAGTTAAAAAATCTTTAACTTTTTCGCTCGAGGTCTGTCAGGGGCCGGATAGAAAAACGAAAGGCTGCGACAGCCACTAAATTGCTAAAACAGACCGAGTTGAGTAATGCCCCCCGACCAAAGTGACAGGGCACACGGTTGAACTCGCCATTCTATGCGGATATTTCCTTTTGCGGTTGAGATATAAATACTTCAGGCTGTCCTCGTACTTTCTCTTCAATCAAGAAGAAACCAAAAGTCCATCCATGGGCAAGATGCATGTAAGGCGCCTGCGGGAGGCTAAAAAGCGTACCATAATATGGAGATGAAAAGCTGCTCCCTCGTGTCGATTGGTGTACTACCCTTCCTGGCCAAGGTACCTTGGCTCGGAAGGGATTTATTAAAATCGATATGTTGCTCGGTTGGACTCTCCATATTGAATACAAGGATCAGCCCTCCCAACACATCCCCTCATCCAACTTGTAGATCTATCGTGCCAATTTCCCTTGTCACTGAGCGATTTTTTCTCCTCTTGTAATTCATATGAACCGTAGTGTTTATCTTATGCTCTATTGACGTAGCTTGTGTGCGGAGGGGAGCCCCATGGAACTCGTTCTCCCATCTGCTAGCTTGCCAACCAAGGAACTATCCGCTGAAGAGGTGGATATTACTCCGCCTCCGTTGCCAAGTTGAGTATTCCATGGAGGAGCTTGGGAGACCTCTTATTTCACATATGACGGACCGTGAAGTAAAGGATGGTATGCAAGGACAATTCCAGCATGATCAGGTTTTCTCGAAAGCCTGTACGGAGTACGGGAACATGCATGAAAGCCTTCGTTTTCGCTCCGTTTCTTGAGTGGTCAACTCCACTCTCCAACGCTGCAACCTTAAATGCATTATTGGAACCTCATACTGGAGGCGAAAATAATAGCATGGGACAATAAGAATGCCTGAGAGTGACGAGAGATAACGTCAGCTAGCCGCCCAGAATATCTCTGATGTCAACGACGAGGCTTGGAGAAAAGGCGCAGTATTGGCTAATTCGGTTGTTATTGCTGCCGTCGTTTGTATAAAAAAATTTAACAAATAATTCCAGAAAGAGAAATAAAGACATCACCAGCCACATGCGGCGCGTAACTGTATTATGTTATCGAAGTTAGATCACTGGATCACCAGCCACGCTTATGTAAGCCTCAGTATTCCATCAAGGCTTTTTCTTCCTTCCACAGGAATCAACACTATGAAGATACCAAGAAAGCAGACAAGAGAAGCTCCACGAAGGGGGCTATGCAAAGGGCATCTAGGCTAAGCTCGGGATCCAGCTCCCCTCTTAGTTTATCGCTGACTTTGCTTTGTGCAACGACATCATGACACTGCCCATGTGGCTGCGAATACCCTCCAAGCCTACTTTAATGTCCAGGTGTCCCCATCCCTCAGGATTTCAACAAAACGCTGTTCGTCTAAGGAGATTCGACCAGCATGCAAGATCGCGGTCGTCGCAATAGTGTTCTTCAGGGTTGGCAGTCCGCGATGGTCGAGTTGGTCGAGAGTCACCCGTTCTTCGTTTAGGGCAGTAATAGCATCGATAAACTTCTCGAAACTTATATACCCATAGCCTCCCTGACCACCAAAATTCCCTTCCTCGTCGGGAGCATAGCTCATATAGAACCTGTCAAGGGACGGAGGAGATCATTAGCGAGCTTCAAAAATGGAACAACAACGGAAGAGTTAAAACCAAAGCGATGTGCATAAACGTGGAAAAACTTAAAACAGCTATCCGTCCCTTGTCGGGACCAGCAGGCTGGTGGCATATTATGTTCATGTAAATGCACACTCTGTGGTTCTTTCACTTGAACTTACGGGTTGTACCACACAAGCCCTTCATCGGTTGCGATATCGTATCCTCTCTTGGCCTGATTGATTCTAATCTCGCCCTTCGATCCCATCCCTAAATAAAGTATTAGAAGCGAAATCTCTCCTTTTTTTTTTTTTTTTCTCTGAATTGGTTTGGATAGGGCGTCCAAGAATCTCGATATACTTACAATGGAAGTATTGGTTGGAGTGAACTCCAGCCTGTTGAGGCGCAGTCCAGCTTGCGGTATATACGCCTGTTGCGACCTTAGAAGGCTCTTCTTTCTTCCTCCACTCCACCATCAGAGTGATCGTGTCTTCAGTTTCCTCTACACAGCCAAGCTCAATAGCTGCTCCCTTTGAGGCTGAGGCAGTTACCTTAACTGGGGTGTACTCCGGAACCATACTCTCACAAATGTCGACATGGTGGGAGTTAAGGTAATACGAAATATCACTATCCTTCCCGGCCCATGCTTTAAAGGTCACCAGTTGGCTCTTGGGCTGGCTCATGTAGCTATAAAAATAGTTAAAGTCTCCTAGTTTTCGAGCCTTGTTGCGAGCATCAGAGTATGCTGGGTCAAAACGTTTATGGTGCTCGATAAATACGAAAACGTTATGCTTTCGAGACTCCGCCAAAAGCTCGAGATGGTCATCCAGGGTCTTTGTAGCTGGCTTAGTGATAAGGACGTGGATCTTACGCCGGATAGCGTACAGCGCAATTTCATAATGTGTGGTATCAGGAGTAAATATAGTGATAGCTGAGCCAGGCTCTAACGCATCTATGGCCGCCTTGTACGCATTTGCGTCAACCTTGTCATCTGCTGGGTAAGACTCAAACGAAGTTGACAGCCCGTTATACACCTCGGATATGTTGGTCTGGAGATGTTTCCCTTTTACGCCATGTTTGGAGCAGACATCAGTATCAGGTCAAAACGGCTATGGCTTCGCCGCCGTAGCGGGAGCACAGCGGGAACACTCACTGATATGGGGAAATTTCAGGCCTGATACGCCAGCCATGCTCAGGTTGCCGACCTTCCCTCGTCTCCGTAGGTCAAACATTGTCAGGCCAACGACTCCCACCTTCTTATCCGAGGTGGAAGCGGCGCCTCCTACGAAGCCAGTGGTATACTCACCTGTTCCAACCTGCATGTACACATGTCAGTTTCCATTTTATAAACCAAAAGCACATATCCTACCATCAACACGTCTGGAGGAGCCATCTCAACCGGGTTGCGACAGACAAATCTCCTTTTGTAATGAGATGCCGTATGCCTATGTTGAAAAGATGCCAGATAACTATTGAGAAGCTTCTTTGTTTAGCGGCTTCCGAGCAGTACAACGCAGGCCCCTGACATGTAATACTACACAACAACTATACATTACTCACCTTGCGGAATATGGTAATACCAAAGTATACCTTTTCGTATATATTTCTTCTACTACCCCTAAAGAGTGGATGTAGCTAAAAGGAGGGAACCATGAGCGGGAGCTGCCTAGGCGGTTCATTCTGGCGGATGTCGGAGCTTGGCCGCGATGCCCGGTAACTGACCCCCGCCCAACATCCAAACGCTCAACGTTTTCTGACGGTGTCACCAACATCCGTTCCTAATAATTGATATACGGTTCAGATTCAGACCTAAAGTTTTATGGGCATACGCCAACAGCTTACAGCTAAAAGACAGTTTGCGATTGACTTCACTGTTGATATAATCGAGAATGGCAGAGCGGAAGAGGACGCCCCTCCAGCCAGGCGTCTATGTGCCTACCATGACATTCTTCGACCCTGCAACAGAAGAACTTGACATACCCACGATCCGCGCTCATGCAATACGACTTGCAAAGGCCGGGATCGCCGGCCTGATCACCATGGGCTCGAACGGTGAAGCCGTCCATCTGTCCAGAGTAGAGCGCGCCCTTGTCACACAGCAAACCCGCTCGGCACTGGACGAGGCTGGATTCAAGCATATTCCCGTCATATCTGGTGCTACCGATCAAGGAGTTCGAGGTACCATCGAGATATGCCAAGAGGCAGCAGATGCAGGCGCAGAATATATACTGTTGATCTCACCCAGCTACTACCGAGCTGCAATGGGGGACCAGAACGCTCTGTTCGAATATTTCACTAAGGTGGCCGATGGGTCCCCTCTCCCCATCATTCTATATAACTTCCCCGGGGTAGTTGCTGGAATTGATATGGACTCTGATTTTATCATTCGACTATCACAGCATCCCAATATTATTGGAACCAAATTTACATGTGGCAATACGGGGAAGCTATGCCGTGTTGCCACTGCCATGAATGCTGTCACGCCGGCTTCCTCCTTGAAAATGTCTTCGGTAGAAAGATCGCCTGAGCGAGCAGTCCCACCTCCATACTTTGCCTTTGGTGGTTATGCGGACTTTGCTCTTCAAACGCTTGTTTCGGGAGGGTCCGGCATTATAGCCGGCGGTGCGAATGTGTTACCTCATCTTTGTGTAGAAGTATTCAATCTATGGAAGCAGGGAAAGCTGGTAGAGGCGATGGAGGTGCAGAAGATTCTTAGTGACGGAGACTGGATCATGTCCAAGTATACCATCCCAGGGACCAAGTTTGCGATCCAGGTCTGTTATGGCTATGGCGGGTATCCTCGAGCACCGATGCCTCGTTTGACGGAGGCACAGGAGAAAGAGATAACAGATAAGATCAAGCCGGCCATGGCCATCGAAATGAGGCTCAGTGATGTTGCGTAGATATGTAGTGCCGGTAGATACCTGAGTGTCTTTAGCCCGATCCATTGGTTACTGTAGTTAGTTGTAGTTACCGCAGAATATATAGTTAGACTTAAAATATAATAGCAACCGAACTCATTGAATAATGCGCACACATCAAATATATCAATAATATCTTGTGATCCCTTAATCAGACACGCATCAAATGTATATGGGATAAAATGCGCCCCTACGCCCTGGGACGGTGGGGAACGGTGGAGCCGTCGATGCAACACGGGCTTTATCCCGTTTATCACATCGGCAAAGCAGGTTGACCTTTGATTCTGATACGACACTGCAAGGCAGCAAGACCCGCTGCTGGCGGAGGTGAAAATCATGGGATTACCGGGCACAGTTCGCCCATTCTCCATATAACTATGACAGTATCACCCCGATTCTTTTTTCAATAAAGAAATTTTCACGATCATAGACGTATCCTGAGAATTCGGATAACGCAACTTTTGAAGCAAGCAGAGTCAAGATGCCTTCCAGGGACGAAGCAGAGGGGTTCCAGGTCGACAGTGCGGAGACGCATACTCAGTTCCACAAGCGTCATGTTCGTATTCACTTCTGTTCAATGTGTCCGCGGTGATTATATAGCTGACGATAGCACAGTATAAACTAAAACCGTTCGAGGACTATGGTGAGGCTACCTTATTACGCAATTGAACAAATTGATGGACTAGGAGACTGACAGGGTATGAAGACGTTGATGTCAAGGTAGAAGCCTGCGGGATCTGTGGAAGTGATATTCATACCATCACTGGTACGATTGTTCTACAATCTTCTGAGAGAGGAAACTTGGGTGACTGATGACGAGGAAACAGGTGGATGGGGTCCTAAGCTCTTCCCTCTATGTGTCGGCCACGGTATGTCCCTACATGGACAAGGTGACAAGAGTACATATGCTAACAAGGACATAGAGATCGTGGGCACTGCCATTCGTGTTGGACCCAAAGTGACGTTGATCAAGGAAGGCCAACGAGTCGGTGTCGGGGCCCAAGTATTCTCCTGCGGCACCTGCAAGCAATGCAAGAACGACAATGAGACGTATTGCCCGAACGTCATCATGGACACGTACGGCTCCAAGTGGCCTGACACTGGCATCGTCAGCCAGGGAGGATACGGCTCCCATGTCCGAGTCCACGAGCACTGGGTGTTCCCCATCCCCGAGAAGCTGGCCACCACTTCTGTCGCTCCCATGCTGTGCGCTGGCATCACTGCGTACTCACCTCTCGTCCGCAACGGCTGTGGCCCCGGCAAGAAGGTCGGAATCGTCGGACTGGGCGGCATCGGGCACTTTGGCGTCATGTTCGCAAAGGCGTTAGGGGCCGAGACCTGGGCCATCTCACGCACGCGGGCCAAGGAGGCAGACGCCCGCAAGCTGGGAGCAGACGGGTTCATTGCCACGGCCGAAGAGGGCTGGGAGAAGCCGCACAAGTTCTCCTTTGACCTGATCATCAACTGCGCCAACTCGTCCAAGAACTTTGCGCTGGACAAGTACCTGTCCCTGCTGGACGTGCATGCCAAGTGGGTGAGCGTTGGGTTGCCCAAGGAAGACGGCCCGTCCATCAAGGCACAGAGCTTCATCGCCAACGGGGTGCTGATGGGTGCCAGCCACCTGGGGAGCCGCAGGGAGATGCTGGAGATGCTGCAGCTGGCGGCCGATAAGGGGCTGCAGAGCTGGGTCGAGGAGGTCCAGATAGGGGAGGACGGCCTGCGAGACGCCGTGACGAGGATGAAGAAGGGCGACGTCCGCTACCGCTTCACGCTGACCGGCTACGACGCTGCCTTCCCCAAGCCTCCCCGTCCGTCGCTATAACATCCTCCATCGCCCGCTACCTGCCATCCCATCCCATCCCATCCGTCTCCCATCTTATCAGTAAAACTATAATTTATGCTTAAACCGACGAGGCAAAAAAGGCAAAAAAAGGCAAAAAAAGGCAAAAAAAAGCCCCTGAGCCGCCTTTCCCCGGGTTTCTTGGCATGAAAATTTTGTATGCTTAAGTAAGCAAAGCTGGAGTCTAAAAAAAAAAAAAAAAGGAAGCGAACTAAAAGTTATTGAGGGCAGGCGACTCCTTTTCCTCTCTTCTATTCCACTATTCACTTCTCCTTCTGCCGCCTCTTCTGTCTTTTTTTCTTTGCCATTCTTATTTGTATAGTTTCTAGTATCTGCTGTTTTCTCCCATGAGACAAATTTTCTCTTTCTTTGCCTTTGGTTTCGTCTGAGGCCTCGTTTATTCTTGTGTTAGAGTCCGGAACTTGCAGCCGTAGGGGTTCGACCTGATACAAGGCCGACTGTCCCCCACGCATCAGCGCAAGAGCGAGATATACTTGTTACGACCTACTTACCTTTGATCCTCCTCGCATCCATAGCTAGTTTAAGGCGCAGTTTCTGTTTCAGCGATAATGTCTTGCTGCATGTCTAATACTAGCCCTGGTCGCCGGCGGTCGACGCTTCGCTCCAGAGTGCGGCCGCTCACTTCGGCTGGAGAGCATCATCAACATCACCTGCTTCACCATCACCATCACCACCATCACCAGACGCAAGATGGAATTGGACGAGTCCATGACGGATCACACAGAGAGGCGGCCTCTCCTTTCGCTGGTGAAAACAACCACAGTGCCATTGTCGAGACGGATGAGACTCTCGCCGCCACAGCCCCCAGATCAAAGCATCGCCATAGCAAGAGCTTCTCCAGCATCTTGCATGGCGCCAGTGAGCTCAAGACGATCACCCGGTCTTTGTCCATCAGCATTCGAAACAAGGGGAAACGAGTTGCGCAGATACCGGGCGAACAGCTGCTGGAAAACCAGGGCCATGACGAGTCCAAGGCAGGCTGGTTTCGGAGCCACAGACTGCCACGCCGCCGGTCCCTTGGTGGAATTTGCAATTTGAACAAATTATATCCTCCGGTGTCGAGCCCGCCTTTACCTTCTAACTTCAAGGACTTCGCTTGCACACAGCAGAATGGCGAGCTGGTGGGCGGTGCGGCTGGGCGCAAGGGGATGCTTGCACCACCACCGAAGGGGGAGGACGAAGGAATGGAGATCTTTGAGCTTGCTGGTCATCTTGGTGTCAAGCTTGCCTTGGACTCGGAAAGTGGAATAAGCATCAATATTCGGGACACTGACGATAATGCAAAGAAGCTCGATTGCATTCGCAAGGGTTAGTCTAACCTTCTTCAAGACGGTTTTTGTCTTGCATTGCTAACACATCTTTTTTTCGATAGATCCCGTTTCCTTGCCTGCAGAACTCATGGCGCATATTCTATCTTTCCTCGACGCCGATTCACTCAAAAATGCAGAGCTAGTCTCGCGCTCGTGGAACGTCCATGCTTCGTCTAGCAATGTTTGGCGAGAGGTTTTTTATCGTGAATACAGAGACAGTCGTAATGTCACTCGTACACCTGGCATCCCGAAAAGAGCGATGGGCCTGGGAAGGAAGAAACCCGCCCAGGACTGGAAAAAGGTATACAAGGTTCGACACACTTTGGAGAACCGCTGGAAGTCTGGAAAAGCTGCTGCCATCTACCTGCATGGCCACCAGGACAGCGTGTACTGTGTTCAGTTTGACGAGTATGTCATTCCCTTACATGTTCTTTGTATTCCGCTTCATGTTTAACTGACAACTTGGCCAGGAATAAAATCATTACCGGTTCTCGGGATCGTACCATCCGCGTGTGGGATGCACGCTATCCGTGGCCGTGTTTGAAAGTCATTGGTGCACACCAGGCCACATCCGACAGCAGCGTGCCCGTAACACCCTGGCCCATCACTCCGCCTGCAGACTCAACCGGCAGCTCCCCTTTCATAAGCATATGTCCACCTGTGGCTTCTACAGCTGACCTCATCTCCCACCATGAGTCTGGAGAGTACCACAATGCCTCGATCCTTTGTCTACAGTTTGATGATAAGATCATGGTCACCGGCTCGTCAGACGCCAGCTGTATCGTCTGGGATATGCAAGATGATTATCGCCCCATTCGCCGCTTGAAGTGGCACCAAGCCGGTGTTCTCGACGTCTGCTTTGACGATAAGCACATCGTGTCCTGTTCCAAGGACACTACTATCTGCGTTTGGGACCGCGAAACCGGCCAGCTACTCAAACGCCTCCTCGGCCACCGCGGTCCAGTAAACACTGTCCAGCTCCGTGGTGATTTAGTCGTCTCTGCCAGCGGTGACGGCGTCGCTAAATTATGGAACATCTCATCCGGTCTCTGCATCAAAGAATTTGCCAGCAAAGACCGTGGCCTGGCCTGTGTTGAATTTTCTGAGGATGCACGCACTATCCTAGCTGGCGGAAACGACCAGGTTATATACCAATTTGACGCAAACACGGGTGAACTCGTGAAGGAGCTGGAAGGCCATTCCGGCCTCGTTAGGTCTCTGCACATGGATAACGTCAATGGCCGAGTTATCAGCGGCAGTTACGATATGAGTATCAAAGTGTTTGACGCAAAGGCTGGAAAACTCAGCGTCGATCTCCCTGGCTGGACCACGAGCTGGATGCTGAGCGCAAAATCAGATTATAGAAGAATAGTCGCAACTAGTCAAGACGCCAGAGCTGTGATTATGGACTTTGGATATGGTTTAGACGGTATAGAATCGCTGGAAGGTTAAAAAAGAAGGCCGTCTTCTTTTCTTTGATTTCGGATAGAACATAGCTCCTGGCGCTGGTGTGTTTTGGATCATCTCGAGATCTGTTATCTGTGCCCTCTTCTTTTGCAATAGTTGGATTCTATTCATATAGATTTCTTTATGATATACGGTTATGTTTCTGCATTTCTTGAGTCTACTTCTGATTCATATCTTAATATCATACTTTCCCATTGAGTTCATCAATGTCTGTCTGTGATTGAGATGAGACCAAACAATGGATGACTTACCAACCAACGTCATACAGCAGGAATGTTGCGCCAACATGGAGGGTATAAGTCTCCCTGGTCGTATTATTTAGCGACTCGACCGTGTGTCTTGATTCTTCGGCTATCACGAGCTGTTATTGGCTTTGACTGGCTCAACCACAGACTGAGGATACTCTGGCATTGCATGTTCTCAGGCAAAGGGGCAAGCCGGGCAGCCTCTGCCAAGTGGGCAGGCAACACAATTAAACATAGCGTGGTAGCAGGCTCTTGAGAGATCAACTACTTATCTGCACGAAAGCCGGCGAGTCCTCAGATGGAGCTCTTTACGGATATACTTAGTCGCAGTCCATTGTTTCCTTGCTATTCAAGAATCACATAGCATTCTAACCATGACATCGAAAGCAGCGACATCAATGTCTATCCCTAAAACTATGCGAGCCTGGAAACATCAACGGGCTGGTTCACCTTCCAAAGTTCTGTCATTGAAGGATGACGTCTCCATGCCCACGCCTCCAACTGATACTTCTGTCCTGGTGCGAGTCTCTCATGTCGCCTTCCATCCCGGAGTGATCATTCTGATGCATTTTGTCCCCTCGTGGCTGCGTCGAATGCCTGCAGTACCCGAGACAGACTTCTCTGGCGTCATCGTAAGCTGTGGAAAGGGTGTTCCTGTTTCCAACGGATCTCGAGACTTTAAGCCAGGCACGCCAGTCTTTGGCTCGTTGCCTGTGAAGCCGTACCTTGGTACTGGCCGCGGCGCACTGGCTGAATATATTGCCATTGAAGCAGATGCTATCGCTAGAAAGCCCGCCGATGTATCGTTCGCAGAAGCTTCAGGCCTGGGAGTCTCTGCTCATACGGCTTTAGTCTTGATTGAAACAGCAGAAGTGCCCCAGGACGCCAAAGTTCTCATAAACTCCCCCTGCGGTGGTGTTGGACACTTTGCAACCCAGCTTCTGCGTCACCGTAACCCCACCGCGCGAATCACCGGAATCTGTTCTGGCAATAACCATGCGCTTGCCCTCCAGCTGGGCTGTACCGACACCATCGATCACACCTCATTCCCCAACGCGGAGGGCCAAACACTAGTCCAGCATCTTGCTGCAAAGTACGGCAATGACGAAGAGAAGTTCGACGTCATATTCGATGCCTACGGAAGTCAGGATCTTTGGATATGTTCTGCTAAGTACCTTAAGCCCGGCAAAGATCATCCGTATGTTACTGTCGGCCCCAAGATGGGTGTCTCCATCGTGGAAGTGCCTGGGTTTTTATGGAAGGTGATCATGAACTCAACATTACCAACCTGGCTGGGAGGAGTGCCTAGACCGTATAAGCAGATTTCCGCATTCACGAATACAGAGGCCATCGAGAGATGTAGGGAGCTGGCTCAAGCAGGTGAATTCAGGACATACGTAGGCGAAATCTGGGAACTGGACCAGGCATTGAGTGCTTATGAGGTGATGAGCAGTGGCCATGCCCGCGGGAAAGTCGTGGTTAAAGTCTGGGAGCCGGATGAGGAGTGACCTGGATTACGACGATATGGATGGATATTTCTTAATTAACGGCCGATATTCTTTGTAATGATGTGATATTTATTATTGTCTTGACGTAGCAAATCTGTCGTACGCAGTCAGGATTCTAAGGACCAAAGAACCCAACACCTAGTTGTTCTGGCCGTGTAGTCATGGCCTTAACTTATATCCCAGAAAGGCTCCCCACGCTGGGGAACCAGGTAGGAGGGTATAGGCCGGCGGGATCAGCAGTGTTCTGGGGGTAAACGATATTAAAACTCGCGATTTATTTGTTTGTTTCTGGGGCTGGAGTCCTTAGTTAAACAATATTTATTTAGCAAAATTAACCCGGCAGGCCGAAGTCTCCTTTTTCTGTCACTTATCAAATCACAGAACGAAGTCGCCTGCAGACATCCAAATCCTCCACCACACACTCGCGCTGCCTCTGTTACAGCGGTCTCCTATTACAGAGACACATCCAGCTAGGTATCTTCCGCTCTGATAAACCAAATGACAAGATATCCTCCCTTTCCCACGCCGCTGACTCCCCACCAACGGCTCTCCAGAAGATTCCGACCCGTACCTGAGAAACCTAAAAGCCAAAGACGTACCAAGGGGAACCATTCTCCTCTTCCTTCACTAACGACTTGAACGACCGATATCGCGACGATGAGTGAATCAAGGTACGAGTCTGGTGGATTTTGCCCTGCGAGTTCGACGTGGACATTACCTGGCCGCCGTTGCCCCGCCTTGGCCAGGACGCGTTCCCCTGCGATACAACGGTGTTGCTAGGGTTGGTGTCAAAGATGTCGATGTCGAGAGGGCGGGAGTTGATGACGCATATGCTGACTACTGGCTGTTTAAACCGATAAGACAGGAGTTGCTGCAGTGGGTTAACAACCTGCTGCAACTGAATGTGACGAAAGTCGAGCAATGCGGAACCGGGTATGCGTGATATCCTCTACCCCTTGAGCTACGGCTGCTTCTCCCTCCCATTCGATCCGTTTGTTCCTCCACCGGAGAATGGTGTGCACATATGTGCTATGTTTTGTCTTATCACGAAGTTCAGCCGGTTCGGTGGTCGACGCTCTACGTAGAGACATGGGAGAGGGAATGTGGTCGTTCGCTCGTCACTCGATAATTGCGTGTTAATTTGAGACCTCGAAGAAGATGTGCTGACTCTTGGGATATTAGTGCTGCATTCTGTCAAATTCTTGACTCAATTTATAGTAAGTATGGCTTTCAAACAGGTGTAAATAAGACCGCCCAGCTAACTGTGGTCATTATAGTGGACATCCCTATGGGACGAGTAAAGTTCAACGTTAACACCGAATACGCCTATGTAAACAACTTTAAGATTCTGCAGAGTACGCCCCTGGCACCGTCCGCAATAGCATCTAGGTCTGGGACTGACAATGTGCTTTCTATATATAGGTGCCTTTGTGCGCCATCAGATCGACCGTCCGGTCCCTGTCCAGTCCTTGATCAAGTGCCGTATGCAGGACAACCTGGAGTTTCTGCAGTGGATAAAAAGACATTGGGACCAGTACTATCCTGGCGGTGAATACGATGCCGTTGCACGACGAAAGGGATCCGGAGCGCCTCCACCTGCTGCCGGGGGAGCTCGTTCAGGAACCTCCTCGGCCACAGGCACCCGACGAGGCACAACGCCTACGAGCGCCGCTGGCAGAGCGCGAGTTGGTGGTGCAAACAACCTCGCCCTGACCCAAGAACTGAACGCACAAAAGGAGGCCATCGCCGGCCTCGAAAAGGAGCGTGATTTTTACTTTGCGAAGCTGAGAGACATTGAACTTTTGCTCCAGCAGGCCGTTGAGGCTGATCCAGAATTGGAAAAGGAAGAAGACTCGTTGGTTAAGCATATCCAGGCCATCCTGTACTCTACAGAGGTATAACCCCTATTCATGTCTTAAAAACCGTTGATCATCGTTAATCTCCATACTAACGATCGAACTAGGAGGGATTCGAGATTCCAGATGGCGAGGCTGGAGGAGAGGAATTGGAGACATTTTAGATTGCATACCCCATACTCAGCACATTCTACATCTACACCTCAGACTGTCTATTCTAAAGGAAGACTGCTTGTGATCTCTACATCGCGCACTCACAGATAAAAACCTCCCGTTGATCAAATAACTCTCTACTAGCTCTTGTTGTTCGCTCTTTCCTCCGATCAGTGTAGATGTTACATAATCAATTAAATATTACATAAGCTCAATCTTCGCTTCCCTTAATGGACTAGCGTCAGGTACCGCGGCCCGTGCTGACCAATCATGTCATCCTCGCTGTTTGATTTCTCATCTTGGCAGGGACTTGGCGGCGACTCTTCCCGATTAGGAAGCGCGCACGACATGGCATCAACTTCGCTTCTTCTGCTCCGTCGACGCTGCAACTACGACAACTCTGGCACAGCGACGGCACAGACGACGAGGACGACGTGGAAGACTCCTGATGGCGTCTGTGCAGCCGCTGAAGAAGAGACACATCCATCAAGGACGCTGAGAAGGTGAGCAGGCAGAGCAAACAGAAGGCCCGACGTGGCTCGCGGCTGGGATTGTTGGTTCGTTCATTGTCCCATCCCCCGTCCTGCACGCGGGTTGGCTGGACATCTCAACCTATGCGAGTGGGAAACCGCCACAAAACCACTCGTGGCCCTGTCTTCTCGAGCTCTTCACTCCTCCAACTCGTTTATTTGTCACAATTCCACGCAGCTGCGCTGACCAGGGTTTCCCCTTTCTCCAGGTCCCTCCACCTCTAGATTTTGGCCAGGTAAATTAAGAACCACTCGATTCGGAACCAATGGCAAAGCCAAACCCTTTTTAACGCAAAATCTTCTTCAAATGATAGCTGCTCCCTCAGCCGTGCTAGTTGGTCTAATGACCAGCAGCCGTTCCTTTCGACCTTTCTTTCCTCCTGTCATGGACTAGCAAAGGGCGACTTGCTTCGACATCGTCCCTTTTCCTTTTTCCTCGCCACTACGCCGAACATTAACAGTCATTCTTTACTCTCACAGCGATTGACGTCCGTTCTCTTGACGATCCTCTCATTATCAACACACGTACACAAACACGAGCCTTCGTTTCATACATTGCTAGAAGCATTTACGTTCTCTTTCTCCACGTTACAGCAGCCACTCTCTACATATTTCCGTTCGTTCCCTTAAAACAACTACCGTTCTTAAACCCACTTCTGAAAACGAATTAGGACGTCGATTCAATTTTAAACTGGGCATATCTGCCAGATTCGATTAGGATACTATGTGCCATCTTCCTTTTGACCTGGTTCAGTTTTCAATATCAACACCATAACTCGGCCTCTCTGGTTCATATATTCACAAGTGAATGCAGCAAAGCTCTGCAAAAGGCCTTTTTTCCTCATTTTGTGACATTTTCCTTGGATTGATTGTGTAGAACATTTTCTACAACTTTTTTAATTTCTTTCTTCAAAGCGGTATCTGAGATACTGCTTACTCTATGCCCAGGATGGGGGGACATCGCATTGATCGGCGGAAACATTGGAAAGGGCCTGAATATCGGATCAAGGACATAGTACAGAGAGAAGTAGAGCAATTACCGAAGGAGCGTCGGAACAATGAGACGCCTCCCAAACACGAGACACCACGCACCACTACCGTTGTACTGACGGTCATTGAGGCTGTCCTTATGGATGGTACCACAGCGGCCGTGTTTACCGTCCCTTCTCTCCCAGCAACTGTTTCGCACTCACGTCTCGGTGTTGTCACGATTCCCTCCGGATCCAAGTCCCCAATCATCGTGTCTCCTTTTCCAACTCCACCGACGAAAATCCACGATATGAAGACTGTTTCACAACCTCCGCCGAGCGAACCGTCAAAGCCGTCAACGAATGTATCCCTTCCCTCTAGTAAACATTCGCTACCATCAACAGACGTTTCACTTCCCTCCAGCCAACATTCGTCACCCTCTACCCATGTTCCTCAGCCCTCTAAGCCATCTACAAACATCTCCTCACCTTCAACTATACCCGTCACTTCTCATGATTCCACCTCCATCCTTTCACATCCATCATCGAAGGATTCTTCAATACCCTCTAATACACAATCCATGTCGCCCTCGGAGTCCTCCGAATCATCAACTTTGAATTCTTCAATATCAACCAGCAAACCGGCCTCCATATCATCTACACACTCTGTATCATCATCAACGTCCGATTCTTCTTCAAGCAGCTACACATTTTCGTCATCGTCCATATCCCTCTCATCAGTATCGACGAGTTCTGCTTCAAAATATCCTCCAGGAGGGGGTGGGGGAGAATTAACAGGTGTACACCCACAACCAACCGCACCAACCGAACCTAATGGAGACCCTTCCAAGGCCGCTTCCAACTCTGACGTCCCCAAGATCGTTGGTGGTGTTGTTGGGGGTGTAGCTGGGATTACTCTGATCATAATACTGTTACTTCTGCTGCGCCGTGTACGGAAGCGAGAAGCTGTTCGCGAAAGCAATCTTACGGGCGGGATAATGAGCTCTGGCGCTTCAGCGGACCGAAACACATTCTCCACAAGTAACACCAGCCAGCTTTCTGGGACGGTCCTTGGCGGAGCGACACGTGTTTTTGATAGATTTAGAACATCAACCGCTTCAATGGCAGGAGAGCCTGTTGAGCGGGGATTTCAAAAGATAGGAGGAAGAAAACTTGCCTCTGTCCTTGAAACTGGCGGTGACGGCTACGACGACAAATTCGGGACCGACGAAAAGAGTCTTATCGTACCACCTCGACCAGCTGGCCATCAAAAAGAAGCTACTGCCACAGACGGAGAAGACTCTATCGGCAGCGGTTTGCATAAGGAACTTGGGCTGGGAGGACCAATATCTCGATCTGCTGACCGGCCTATCTCTGACGAAAGCATATATTCCGAAAGAGTTGCATTCCGCCCATCGCCCGCTCGGACACCCATTGCTACGCCTGTGGGATCTGCTATATGCGAGGGGATAGCAACCACTCCTCAGAGTGGTATAGTTGCACCATCGGAATTCCTACTGGCGGCCTCAACACCGTCGGGTAGAGACGAAATTGGACGAAGCTTGGCTGCAGCTGATGGCAGCCGCGCCAGCAAATTCACAGAAGGTGTCTGAAGCAGTGACGCGCCGTTAAAGAGTGCTTTTCTTCCCACCCGCCTTTTCCGCACAGTATAATTTATGATCATGTTTATTATTCATTTCCCCTACCTACTCTATGCAGATTGCCTTTTTCTGCTTGGTCTGCCTGGCTTATTAAACCCTTTGTACCTCTTAACACATACCCTTACTACTCCTATTTTAATACTCTATGGCGTATCTAGTGTTTGTTAAAGGACTTTATTTTCGTTTGAAAATCTTAGTACAGAATTAAACAGAAGTAATTAGCACCTCTTATTTAAGAGGATCAGCCTACTTTAAGATGTTGTTCCTTAATTATATAAATAGACTCATCGAGCTTGACAGCTTTGCTTTGCCTTCTTTTATACTACAAATCATGATGTATTAAGATCTAAGATTAGAACTCTTTATAGCTGATGCTGAGGCCAGGCCTATTTAATCACTGTAGCTACTTTATCTTACTAATTTGTCATCAGCACAGAGCTCATACTAGTACTATTCACGTCTCTAATAGTGGTGATATTACATTGATAACCTTATATGTGACTATATACTACTATCTCTTACCGATGATGAGAATCAAGTCCCTTACTTTATCTCCACTTGTTTTACCAAGTCATAATCAACTACGTAAAATGCAATATTATTAAGGAGAGTTAAGTATTTATTCATCTGCCTTACTGGCCATTCCTAACTATTCATCCGATTACTCGGCAAGACCTGGAGACCCGAAAACTCAAAAGGCTCACTCATAGATAAACAGGAGAACCAAGATCAAGGCCCAGATAAGCTAGACATATTCAAGTATAATGAATGTGATAATGATAATTGACACTGCGTTGGGTCACTCGAAGGGGCCCGTATGACGTCGTAGTTCACGGACTTTAGGCTTTATTTCTATTTTTTTATACATGTATTAGCCAAAGAGGTCCTTGAGAAGGTTGGAGTGCTGGTGAGATATAATAGGGGCTTCATACGCCGCAAGCAGTGCAGTTACAGCTTCCACTAGTGCAAGTGCAGTCCTTTGGGCCGTTGCACCCACAGTTGTTAGATCCGCATCCGCAGCCCATGGTGGATGATATTGGTGGAGATAAGGATTCTTGAGTTTGTAGTGTTTGCAAAATAATATTATGGCGAATGTTCAGTAGACTCTCTGCCGCATGTATTCTTCACGAGAGTAAAAGCAAACGAAGAAGAAGAGGGAGGACTGAGAATATATAATGAGGAGATACGGATGCCAACTCTTCTATCCGGCAAGCAGAGGCGATGGAGGGTACGGGTAAACAGGGAGATGATGTCATTCGACCGCCATGCAGAAGTAAAGGGTGCAAAGTGGCACAACCCAGCCGGTGGATATCAACTTACACTTTGTAGTTAATGCATGTAAACGACTAGCTGGGTCGTTCTTGTCTGGATCAAATCCTGTTCTGGCGGAAAAGTTTCAGGATAAGTTCTTGATCAGTCTGGTTTTGCCGCTGGACGAGGTACATTTCAGTACCTGCAGAGCGTAGCGAGATTCGGCGCCGAAGCGAAGTATTTTGACCAGTTAACTAGCTGTATTAGTCAAAATTGACATCCCACTTCGTTCTCTAGACCTGGCTGGACAATGGGTAAACGGCTATAGTTGAAGAAATTTTTTTTTTTTTTCAGTCTCCCCATCTCTTCCGCTTGCTGGCTCCAGTCTTGGGCTGCTGCAGGCGTGCCATCCATGCCGTCGGTGAACTTAGCAGGGGAGCTTATATATTTCCGAGGTTTAAGCTGGCTAACTATATATGTAAAATCCAGAGTCAGCATATATAGAGTGCGAATCACTCTTCAACGGGCCTTTTGGGTGTTTGTTTACCCTGACGAGAGCAGAGCAATGGTTGGCGGCTCCATAGATGTCAGCCTCCTGATGTAACGCCGGAATGCTAACCTTGTTAAAACTTTTGAGCCTTTGAACCGGAAGGGACCAGTGAAAAAGGCCGAGCACTGGTGAGCTCTCTGGCAAGGCAGGCATAGATGCAGTGCATACCCATTGGCCCGATGGTCTATGGCAGACTCTGCCGACAGAGCCCCTTTTGCATTTGACAGGCCAGGGTAGCCCAAGCAGGACATCCCGCTCTCATAGTCAGGAACCCCTCCTGGACGGCCTGTAGTCCGTTCCCAGAGTTTGTCATAACCATATATACGGAGGGAGTTATCAACAAGTCTACGAGACGAATCAGCTCGGTCAAGACAACGCAAAAAGGAAGACGAGCAAAGCTCAGGACGTTACCCAGACAAGCCACACCAGGTGCAACAAGAGACGTCTTCTGGCGTCTCTGCTTATCTTCCGAACACTTGTGCTACGGGCCTGGAGGTGGATGACCAGCTAGCAGGGGGGGCGATCATCGTGACGGTAAAAGGGGGCCGTAGAAGCAGACATATACAGCTTATAATCGCCCGCAAATACAACCACAGGCGGGACAGCAGGTAAAAATAGCATAGCAGGCGAGCCGTCTGCCTCGTCGACGTAGACAGAGAGCCGTATACTCAGATGTGGGCGGACGGAGTGCTTCGATGTCGATGCTCTGACCGGGGGGTGGTGCGCCCCCTTTGCTAGTAGTAACTTAAGCAGACGAGGAAAAAGTGGATGTTTGCGTCTTCCCGCCGGGCCTGCAGGCTTTCTCGTCGCCCTTCTCGCCCTCTCGACAACCTCAATCCTCCAACGACAACCACCAGGGCCTGCGGACGGCATCACCCCCAGACCGACGACCGGACAGAGCTGCTGCCTTGCCTGTCGCTCCTTTTTATTTTAATCTACTATTAGTCTTGTTCTTCGTTTTCAGGCTCAGCTTCTCTCGCTGCCTGGGTACCTGCCTCGCCCCCTGCTTCTGGGCCTTTTTTCCTCCTACGCCCTGCCTGCGAGTCACAGTTGCGAGGCCTCGCTGAAACGACGGTTAGCCATTATCATATCCCATTAGCACGGGTCGGGCCGCCTTTCGACTGATACAAACGCCATCGTCTTTTCTCGTATCAAACAGGAGGCCATCATGGCTGTGCGGAGTTGAGATCTGGGACAAGACAGAGTGAAAAAAAAAAAGGACGCAGCAAAACTACCAACAAAACGACCTCCAGGATCTCGATTCTCTCTCGCTCAACATCCTAAGACATCATCAGATTGCTGCTGCTGCAGGCAGCCGTCCGGCGTTGCCCTCGACCGCGTTCCTGCTCCCGCCGTCCTCGCGCATAAACTGTGGCCCTTTGCTGTGGAACCAACCGTCAGCGGATGGGCATGTCCTCGTTGGCCTCTCGCACAGCTGAGTGAAGAATCGACTCTTGCGATAGCCGAGTGGATAAGCAGACAGTCAGGAGCATTCCGGGGGATTCACTACAAAGGACGAGAAGAGCGCGCGCGCTGGCTGGCATGGCGGGAATTGCTGCAGCAGAACCAGCGGACGCATCGATTCACCATGACCCCAACAACATCACGGCCACCAGCGCCTTTCACAGTTCCTACGACCATCCATCGATAGCACAGGATGTACGTCTGCCATACTTTTGTCTTTTAGCGGAGTTGGAGGAATTTTGTCTTTTTCCTTTAGTTCTTCTTTTATAATGTTTTATGTTTTTGCCGTTCCATGGCTGACTATGGGCTCATAGAATCTTCGGTCCACATTGAAGACTCGCCATTCCGCAGACTCTCCTCCTCAGGCACGACATTCACGACACAATCATGTCAACGGCACCTCGCTGTCTCGAACATCGTCTGCTGCTGGCTCTGGACGGAACAATCTGACCGAGTCCACCTACCTGACTCCCCATGCCGGGCGCAAGGATAGCAGTCTCAGCCGCACTCACAGTGAAGCTGACAGTCTGCTGGACCTTTACAGCCGTGATTCTGGCAACCGTAGCGTCTCAAGCGTTCTCGATGCCTCGGAGAGGAAGGAAAACAAGCCTTTCTATCAGATAGAAGCTGAAGACCCAGAGCATGCCCAATGGATACACCGTGACAAGCTTGCGAAGATTGAAAGTGAGGAGTTGCAGCAGCTCGGTATCCGTCTACCTGCACCATTTACTGGCAGCAAGAGAGGGAGAGGCCGTAGCCATGAAGCTGCCAATGGAATCAATGGAGTTGTTACGACAGAGCAAGGCGAGCAATGGCCTGCTCTTGCCAAGGATGAGGCAGAGAAACGGCATAGACGTGGCGGCTCGTCCGATGCCCGAGTTGATGGGATCATTCCACTGGAAACTGAAGATAATGAAATAATCAACTTTGACCCCCGGCTTCCAGAGGAGATAGCGGCCGACCAGGAGGAGAACGACGGTGTATACCGACAGCCTGGCCTGCGGAAGAGCTCGTCTCGAATCCCCGTACTAGCATCAAGCCATCATCCCATACCGCAAGAGCATCTCGACCGTGGAGTCCCGCTACCGCGTACTCGGAATAATACGCTCGACAATGGCAACGAGGACAGCATTGTCTATCCCAAAACCCGTAGACCTAGCGAATCAGCGTTCCGTGAACGAGAAGTGACTCCTGACTCCGAGTCAAAGGCGGAAATCACCACTCAGGATAGCAACAGCACGAACACCTCCCATCCTTCCCCGTCCAAGGCAAAGACGCCCTCCAAATCCACGCCAACAGGTCGGAAGACGTCACAGCCGCCGAACAACCGCAAAACCTCCGTCACCCAGAAGCCCAAGACTCCCAACAGCAACAACACCGGCAGCAGCACCAACAGCACCCCGAATGGTCGCCCAGGAACACGGTCAGGCGATAATCGTCCACCCAGCGCCGCATACTCTGCTATGAACAGACCCGATAGTGACCCTCCATGGCTGGCAACGATGTATAAACCCGATCCTCGTCTTCCTCCTGACCAGCAGGTCATACCTACACATGCGAAGCGCATGCAACAAGAGCATTGGGAGCGAGAGGGTAAAGTACCCGCCATCTATGACCGGGACTTTTCTCCTCTCACCATCCAGACGTATGACAGCAACGGGGCCGTCACGCCGTCACCGCAGCCTACGGAGCAAGAGCAGGAGGATAACAGCCAGCAGCAAGCTCAACAAGAGCTACAGCCACTACCGGAGGCTTTATCACCTACAAAACCGCCGTCTATAAGAGTTAAGAGTCCCGACCCCTCTGGTAACAATGCATCCGGGTACAAGGCTGTCCCCAACATACAGTCCACGACGCCCGCGCAGCCTAGGCTGAACTCGTCTTCGGCCCTTGCTCAACAAAGTCCGATTGTTGTAAAACGACCACCAGTCAAAGAGAAGGGCTGCAGTTGCTGCATTGTCATGTAGCACTGTCCATCATACCTATAACCTATACCCCATATCCAACTGACCTTTCGATGATCAATGCTTTCTTTTCTCAGGTAACTTTCTTTTTCCCTCCCCTTCTCTCTCGCCCTCTTTTCTCCTTCTTTCCCTTATATCCGTTTTTCTATATCGATTTTCGTTCAATATTTGCTGCTCTCAGCTTTCCAACTGCCGTCCACGTCTATTACCCCCTTGAGCGTTCAAGCTATCTACCTTACATATCCCACTCCCGGCCTAACGACCATTCTTTTCCTTTCTCCTTGTCTTCTCGAAGCCCCATACCCACGCTCTCCCCTTCTGTGTTTCTTTCTGATCTGGTTATTTCTTATCTTCTCAATAAAACTTGGCTGGTGATTGGCGATTTGGCTCTCTGAATATTTATCTTACCCATTAAGATCGAATTGGAACTTCCAACTGTACACATCTTCTACTTTTACTTCTTTTTGTCTTTTATTTTCTTTCAATTCAATTTCATACCTTCTTTCTCCTTAACTTACCGCTTTTTGACTGTTAATTTCTCTCAAGTCCCTTTGCCAGTCGGCATTCCTCTTTTATTGCGTTATCATCTAGCTATCCATCTAGATGTCTTCTCTCCCTCTCTCCTTACAGACTATCTCCATCTACGCTTGACCCGGACATATCACCTCTCGATACCCTCGAAACCACTCCTGGTTGTTTCTTTACCAATAGCTTCACTCCCATCTTATGCGTCCCAGGCTCTTTTTGTTACTTTTTTTTTTTTGTTTCTGAAAATGTTGAAGATTGAAGATTGAAACCTCTCACTCCCGTCATTCCCGGTCCACCTCCCTTCCCCTTTCCCCCCTTCAAATTGTTCCCTTGAGCCAGTGTGCCCCTTTGCCAGCGCAAAACACAGTGCGATCTTCTTGTCTCTGCCACTCACCATCTCCTTTACTTATCCAGTCCGGTTTGTTCCTCCCCTGCTGTCCTCTTTGCTGCCGTTGCTCTTCTGTGTGTTTTGTCCCTTCACAAACCTGATGGCAGTCTGGTCCGGTTTAGCAAGTAGCATCCGCTCTTTAGGCATGTTTTGTTATCTTTTCAAATAGAGTGAATTGAATAACCAGCATACCGTTTTCGTAGAGTATACTGTGATGCCTTATGTGTTGTATGACTGCATGATGTATCTCCCTCCTGGGTGTAATCAAAATCATGCGGAATGGCATGCCCAACCCGACTCACCCCGAATAGCCGGCATCAGGACACCTCCAGCCATCTCATCCATCCAGTTATGCCCGTCTGGACCCTGCAGTCAGGCCCTTGTAGCTCATTTTTCATCTGCCGTGATCTGCGGCCTTCGTATCGAGATGTTCCGCTAACTAGTTAACTAGTGAGCCAGAAATTGCCGGGCTTGCTTTCTTCCCCGCCGCCGAAGCATCAAACAGCCTTTTTACCGGGTTGAATCCTGACATCTTTCACTGCGTATAACTATCTTCTCGCAACCCCTCGACCAGGCCGTCTTCTTCTTCTTCTTCTTTCTCTCTTCTATCAAAAAGTTGCCCACCATAGCTTCCATATTCCGCCGTCTTTTTGGCTCTGTAGCCACCTCGCCAGCCGCCATGTCTGCCGCAAAAACCAAAGCCGAGAACATCATCAGTGAGAATGCCGTGGGTAAGTCGAGGCTCTTGAAAGCAAGCAAGTAACTAGAGATGCGCAAAAGCTAACGTCTGGCGTGTTGTAGTTGTCTTCTCCAAGTCCTACTGCCCTTACTGCAACGAGACTAAGGCTCTGCTCAATTCCAAGGGAGCCAAGTTCTTCGTCATGGAACTCGACAAAGTTGGTATGTTTGGCTGCCATGATGATATATATACGGAAAAATCTAGTTTTTCGAGGAGACGGGACCCTGAAAGCTGATACTGAGACTGACGGTGGACATAATATAGATGACGGCCCTGCCATCCAGGATGCTCTACAGGAAATCACCAACCAGCGCACCGTTCCCAACATCTTCATCAACCATCAGCACATCGGCGGCAACTCCGACCTCGCTGCTAAGGCCGGCCAATTGAGTGCTTTATTGAAGGAAGCCGGTGCTCTCTAGATGGCTTGCAACCTGCCATGGCTATACCAGCGGTTATAGATGTGTCTCCAGCAACGTTCTTGTCTGTAGAGGATAGAGAGACTTTTTGATTCTACGTACGGGGGTGAGAATGCGGGTAGACTAGTTCATGTATTTATTTAGGAGTGTCTCGAACGTTGAATACATCTAGTTGCTATAGTACATATATATCACCATTCTTTCTAAGTGAATAGAAACAGTCCCATCCATAACGTACACTTGACCGCAGCTCTGAGTGGGGAAAAAAAGAGGGCCAGTTCAGACGACCTTCATCTCAACTGTACCGATCGGCCGGCCAACGATACCCATCATGCCATCAACGATATTCTTTCTTGCGCCCTCACTAGCCACGGTCTTACCGGCAAGGTAATTCAACCACACCAGTCGCCCGATACGCTCATCCCCAACCCTACCAAGCCATGTCATCGGCTTCGTATCCCCAGGCTGATACACTATCCCCATCCCTCCAAGCTTATCACGAAGGAGAAGCAAAGTCTGACCCTTAGGCACATTCTTCCTCACTCCTCCACCAAGCAGTGTCTTAAACTCGGACAGTGCTGTGCCGAACGAGTCATCGCCAAACTCAACTGCCGCAGAGGTATCAGAAGCTGACTTGTCGGCAGCAGCAAGCTGTTTCGCCCGGGCATTTGCCTTCTGAGCCCGGGCAGTGATAGCTCTCACCCACCCATCACGCAGATGCAGAAAGTCTGTGTTTCGTGTGGGCACGATCCGGAAGACGGTGCGGATACCCCCTTGTCTCAGGATATGATCCATTATCTGCTCGCCCTTCTCGGCTTCGAGTAGAGAAGCCTGTAACTCCTCACGCTCGCGTGGTACAAGGGATGTAGCCGCCAGTCCGTCATCGGTAGGAGCAACGCCGGGTACGACGGGATTAGCACCTTGTCGAATGAGTCGTGCCTGGAGCTCTGGAATGTCTGCAGTAGCGATGTACAAGCCAACAACGTAGACTTGAATGCTGAGGAAGGAGACCGTACGTAGACCCAGGCCGAGGAGCTGGTACTCATCTGCCGATTTGTCATTCACATTATCTGTAACAGCCAATTCGTCGCCGACTTTCAGATCAGGATTACTTCCGTCAACGGTTCTGGGTAGGCGTATCGTCTTGGGGAAGTTAGGTATCGTGGAGTTTCCTGTTGGAACCTGTTCGATGCCATTGATGATCACGGTAGCAGACTCATTGAATGCCATGCCACCCGGTGGTCCCTCGAGCTTGATTTTCCCATCACTCTTCGCCTTGGATGCTGCTGTCTGGCTCTTTTGCCCATCGTTACTGTCTGCGTTGGTCTCTGGTTGTAGTCCGTCTGGGAAGTAATACGTCACAGTGCCGTACATGGCAATGGCGCACGCGATCAGGCCTGCGGCAGATATGGCCATTGACCTCCTATGTTGTGCATTTTGATCACGGGCAGCCTTGGTGGAATATCGCACTTCTTCCCTTGTGCCTGTCTTTGTGGTAGTTGCTCGGAGTGTGTGGGATGTTGATAGCCATCGAGGCTGTTGGCGTGTGAGGTTTCGTCGAGCGCATTGTGTGAGATATCGACGGAGGGGTGTATGGAGGGACGGTGGAAGAGAATTCATGGCTGCAGTGATCAATTGCTTTGGGATAGCTACCGGGCTAATGAATAGTGGGTTAGGTGGACTTGGGGACCGTCGGCCCAGTTGCAGTGGTGAGATATCGAAGTTGGCTAACAAGTCGATTGGTTACTACTGTCGGCCATGTTTGTCATGTTTGCACATGACGAGAACCTTAAACCGTCACGTTACGAGTTTACTACCAAATACTCCTCCATACATGACGAGAAAAAAGATGAAGATGGAGATGGAATTTTGATTTGAAAGTTCATGTCAATTAAAAGCCGGTTTTGTATCTAATGTGATGTGGAGAGGGGGAGAGTGGTATTTTCGTGAGTTCTCAAATGCCCGCAAGAAAAAAACACCTGGGGAGAAATAAGAGTAAAAAACCAGCATCTCTTTTTTACTTTCAAACATCAAAAACCCTTTTTTTTGTTCATCACCATCATATTTGTCGTTACATCAAGAAGTAGGTGAGATGATTTACTTCTTGCCAGCCTTGGCAGCAGACTTGGTGACCTTGCCAGCACCACCGGCGGCCTTCTCAACAGCCTCTGTAAAGATGCATTAGTATATGTACGACAATAACAGCACAGTTTTTTAGGGTGGGTGGTAGAGAAGTGACTTACTGATGACACCGACGGCAACGGTCTGTCTCATGTCACGGACGGCGAAACGACCAAGTGGGGGGTAGTCAGTGAAAGCCTCAACGCACATGGGCTTGGAGGGAACCATCTTGGCGATAGCGGCATCGCCAGACTTGACGAACTTGGGGTTGGCTTCGACGGATTTACCGGTACGGCGGTCAATCTTCTCGAGGAGCTCAGCGAACTTGCAAGCAATGTGAGCAGTGTGGCAGTCGAGGACTGGAGCGTAACCAGCACCGATCTGGCCGGGGTGGTTGAGGACGATGACCTGGGCGTTGAAGGAGGCACAGCCGGATGGTGGGTCGTTCTTGGAGTCACCGGCAACGTTACCACGGCGGACTTCCTTGACGGAAACGTTCTTGACATTGAAGCCGACGTTGTCACCGGGGACACCCTGCTGAAGCTGCTGGTGGTGCATTTCGACGGACTTGACTTCAGTGGTGACGTTGGCGGGGGCGAAGGTGACGACCATACCGGGCTTGATGATACCGGTCTCAACACGACCGACTGGCACAGTTCCGATACCAGAGATCTTGTAGACATCCTGGAGTGGGAGACGGAGGGGCTTGTCGGTAGGACGGGTTGGCATGTCGATGGCATCGATGGCCTCGAGGAGGGTCTTGCCGGACTTGGCACCACCGGCCTTGGTCTCCTTGTTCCATCCCTTGTACCATGGGCAGTTGGTGGAGGCCTCAATCATGTTGTCACCGTTGAAACCAGAGATTGGAACGAATGGAACACCCTTGGGGTCGTAGCCAACCTTCTTGATGAAGTTGGTGACTTCCTTGATAATTTCCTTGAAACGATCCTCGGACCAGCCGGTGGTGTCCATCTTGTTGATGGCAACGATGAGCTGCTTGACACCGAGGGTGAAGGCGAGCAGAGCGTGCTCACGGGTCTGGCCATCCTTGGAGATACCAGCCTCGAACTCACCAGTACCGGCAGCAATGATGAGAATAGCGCAGTCAGCCTGGGAGGTACCAGTGATCATGTTCTTGATGAAGTCACGGTGACCGGGGGCGTCTACTCTCGTTAGATATGGTACAACCACATGAGGGAACAAGGCAAAGAAACATACCAATGACGGTGACATTGTACTTGGGGGTCTCGAACTTCCAGAGGGCGATATCGATGGTGATACCACGCTCACGCTCGGCCTTGAGCTTGTCAAGAACCCAAGCGTACTTGAAGGACTTCTTGCCCAACTCTTCGGCTTCCTACAGGTACCTTGTTAGCATCGATCCTTAGAAAAAAGCAAATCCCAAACATGACATGAGGCTCGATCGTTGCCTGGAGCGATGGCTGCATGTTTGATGTTGGTGGGGTGTGGATTTTGCTGCCCAAGCGAGTGCCAAGCCACATCCCACCAGCAGCACCAAAATTTCACCTGTAGTGGGATGAAGGGGGAAAATTGTGCAACAGAACGGAGACAGCAGGGTCAAAAAAGGGGGGTTATTTACCTTCTCGAACTTCTCAATGGTACGCTGGTCGATACCACCGCACTTGTAGATCAAGTGACCTGTAATGTTATAGTCAGTTTCTGTGTAATTCGGTGCCTGGCTAGAGGTATCTGGTGGCTGGCTTACCAGTAGTGGTGGATTTGCCGGAATCGACGTGGCCGATAACGACCAAGTTAATGTGGCCCTTCTCGTCCTTACTGTAGGGTCGTCAGCTCTGGCCATCGAGGCATTGAACGGGTGGTTGCAGAGAAGGACATACCCCATGATGACGGTGTTTTTTGTGTGTGGTTTGAAGTCTTGTAGCTCTTTGGAAGATACTAGAAGAATTCAGCAGAACGCTCAGATACTACGGCCGAAATTGCGTAGAGGTGCTGCAGAAGCGAGTTAGCTATCGTGGTAGGACGACGACGATGACGGTGATGGAGAGGAGAGGGAGCGTTGGAGGGCGAGGGAAGACGTACTGAAGCAGACGAAGGAGAGAAAGGAAAAAAAGAGGAAGAGAAAAGAATTTTCTGTGTGAAGGCGACGAGCGAGGGGTCCTTTTGTATGGCGGGGCGAGGGGCGCGGACAGCCGAAAGAGGACTAGCGAGATGGCGCTAAGCCTAACCGGGCAGGCAGCGGAGGGGCAGGGTGGCCCCCCACCATGAAAACTCTGACGGCGCTTAAGATAAGGTGAGGACGGAGAGTGACGGTGAGGTGAGTGAGGGCGTGAGCGACGGTGACAGGGAGGGTGGATAGGGAGTAGAAGGCTAGAGAGAATAGTTGACTATGTGACTACGTTCTACAGAGGTTGGCACCTATCTAGTCGAGAGCAGAAGTAGTGTAATGGCGACCGCTGTGAGAAGCATCCCCCATCCCTGCAAGCCCTCCCTGATCAGCGCCGCCGTGCCTTGGAGGGGTCGCGGTCGAGTGCGTCGAGTTTACGTGTCCGAGTGGGCTGTCCCGGTGGATAGCTTGAAGAGCCTTAGTGGCGTGGTAGTGCGACTCCTGTTTGGCGAGATGAAGATTTTTGGTCAGCGGAACCCAAGGAGAGATTCCGCCCGCCTCTCTGCCCTTTGCCAAGGTAGATAGGACTTGCTCTCCTTTGGACGATTAAAGTGAAAATTTGAACGTTAAGAAGTGGCCAGCCCCTTGTCTAGTTCTCTCGCCATCGAGCATCACAGACGGAACACTGTAGTCGGTCAAGGTCAGCATCAGTGTGTGAGCCATAAAAAAAAAGAAGAAGAAGAAGAACGCAGCGTAAGGAAGCACCGCACCTTGTAGAAGGTCGTCATAGGCTCGTCTGCGCTTCGGATCTGCAATTGGAAAAAGAACGCGCGATCTCCCTCGCAGCCTTCAGCGGGGCATTGGGCTGCAGTGCAGGCGTCAGTCAGTATATATTATTCCTTCACAGCAGAAAACGCAGCGAAGATAATGTACCGGGCATGCTCTCTGCATTCTTCCACTCATCCTTTCCACCCAGCACATCGGCCACTTCCTTGCGTTTCATCTCTTTGCGTTCAAAATACGTTCGGTCAAGGGCATACTGGTACGGACAGGTACGGCATTCGAACCGGTTGACGCCCGCCGGATATCGCGAGGTAGGAGGCGCTTTCGAGATAGTTAGGGCATTGCTGCAGTTTGGACAGACTGGTGGACAAGAGTAAAAAGAGAGGGGGGCGTTAGTTGTGTCACAGATATCTACATTCACAATATGCAGGGGAACGTACAGGTGAGAGGCATATTGAAGGCAAGGCACTATCAAAATTCAACTATCGACGTCCTCAGATCGTTGAAAGATAAGCAGAAAAAAAAAAAGGCATGAGCTCGACTTTCGAGATGTGGCGCCAATTGACCAATAGATAAACGCCAAGCGTCTAAGTCGATTGTTGTCGCGGTTAGAAACAATATTACACCGTATACTCAGCCGCATGATCACGTGAAGCTGAAGCTTAATCTGCTATGCATTGGCTTTCGGCCAACATTTTTTCAACGTTATTCTTCTACACGATCGAGATAATAATCAACTGTACAATCCGTCATAACACCAACGTCTGGCTCCTTCGTCCTCCAATCTGGGACCGAATCGTTTGCCCAATGAAGAAAGCGAGATTCACATGTGCTAGCATTGGCTTGCCGGGACCATGGGTGATTAAAGTTCGACCTGGAGAATAATGCATGGACACGCCTCGGAATCTGGGACGGTGGTATCTCTTGATTCTGCGTATAATACGTCTGTAAACTCGTCAAGATCTCAAAAGTGAGTAATCGAATGGGATATCAAACTGATACCCATAGATATCCATGGTACCTCTGAGGATATTCTGGAGTCCACCCAGACGCCCTCAAAAGCTCGGTCATCAAACCCATAGTCCGTGTGTTCCCCTCTCTGGCTCTCTATTTTGCTCATTCTACTTGTCCGTATAGGCATTGTGTCAATAGTAGAACATCATGCCATTTCACCATTCCTTATTTGCCATGCTCTCCTGTGCCTGAAAGCTACCCTCGACTTACCGTGGCGCATGATCGAAGTATACAACACTGGCTAGTCTCACACAAATTCCTAACAATAGAGTTATATGATTCAATTAGGCTTAAGCATTTACGCCAAAGACATCTGCAGGAACCTGTAAATATATCCTGGGGTTAATATATGTATCTAGGGGTAACTTCTGACCCCTAATGCTATAGCAATATAGTTATCCCAACCCCTAATTGGTAAAACGAACACTTGCTTAAGCCCTCACCACAAAGGTCTCTCTCTGTGCCAGTGTATCCGGGTGATACCCTGTTTGCTCTGTTAAACCCTGGTCTATTGCTGATGATTCGTTTTAATAACTTTAGGTAGATTAGCTAAGGTTCATCCTTAATTGAGCTTAAATTACGGGATTTTTGTCAGCTAACCATGGAACTCACCCTACCCACCGCGCTACCAAGTAATTAGTTCTCGGACCGAAGCTTGTTCTGAAAGTCCATCACCAGGAATGACACTATCTAAGCAGCCGAGGAAGTAGCGAGGTATTATTAGGGAGAAGTTTCTCTTAGGTTACTCCTCGTCCTAGGAAGAGAAAGAAAAGTTAATTAGCTGCACTAACGGTTCCTCACTGCTTGACTGCGTGCATGGTCCGTTAAGCCCTATTTCGAATGGCTTCCAATTGTGGCCGAAGCTGATTTTCGACCGGGATGCACATGTTTGCAGATGGCCGCTGCCATCCGTCACAGGCGGGGTAGTCTGCAGCCAGCTTACGATAGTTATAACAAAATGACTTCCGGCACCCGTCCGACGCATTGTCGCTATCTGCAATCGCCATAATTTCCTTCGAACCATTCTTAGACAGTGAAAAATATTTGTCGAGTTCTCACACTCCTCTACTTTTTAAGATGAAGGTTGCAATTGCAGGCTACGGCGATTTAACTCGCTACATCTGTGAAGAATTCGTCCGAGCTGGCCATGAACTTGTCATTCTTACCCGAAGCTTCAAGCCACAGATCGAAAACCCCGGCATCTCTCAGGCCATTACGGACTATACCACATCATCTCTGAAAGCCCCGTTGGCTGGCTGTGAGGTCTTAATTTCAACTATCGGTGACATGTCGAATGCTTACACCAGCGTCCATCATACACTTATACAAGCCTGCCAGGAGAGCCCAAAGTGCAAACGCTTTATTCCCGCTGAGTTTGCTGTAAACATCGAAACTTACCCGGATGAGCCTGGCTTCTACTATGCTATACATGAGCCTGTCCGTGAGACGCTGCGAAACCAGACAAATTTAGAGTGGACGCTGGTGTGCATCGGCTGGCTAGCAGACTACTTTGTGCCAAGTAAGAATCGTTACATCAAAGATATCGACGAGTGCCACCCTATTAACTGGAAAGCCAACAAGGCTGTGATTCCCGGAACTGGGAATGAGCCTGTTGATTTTACATGGGCAAGGGACGTTGCGAAAGGGCTCGCCTCGTTGATACAAGCGCCCACTGGCTCATGGGAGCCCTATACTTTCATGTCCGGGGAACGAAGCTGCTGGAATGATATGGCCGCGCTTATAAAGGAAAAATATCGTCCTGATATGCCGATTGAGCATGTCTCGCTTCACGCCACGGCCAATATGATCAAAGCAGCCGAAGACGAGGATACGTTAATTTTGGCTGACTATTACCTTTTATCAATTAGCCAGGCATGTGCAATTCCTCAGGATAAGGCTAAGGCCCATAAAGAAAAATTCTTTCCGCATATTCACTTCCGGACTTTGCAAGAGGGTCTCTCCCACTTCGACGAGAAGCCCAATTCCATCATGTGAGGGATGTAAGGATAAAGGCGGAGCGTAATACGGAGGTACTTTTGTTTGGCTCTAGAAAATGAAAACAATCCCTTATTCCCCCCTGGTTTCGCCGTTAAGCTTGCCATGGTTCCGTGTACGTTTATTAAAACCAAAGGATCTATTGATATATAAAGACAAGTGGTGAATATCTTGTCCAGCCTTTGAAATTCAGGTTTATAATCGACGGAATAGACAAAGGACACCGTAATTTACCCTAAATCATTGTAGAATAATAGTTGCTTTTTGATTTAATAGAACTCTGCAAAATGCTCCGAATTTTCATATTCCAAACTAACCCAAAAATCACACCGAAAAAAAAACGCTCTCTATAAACTAATGCAGTCTTAGTAAGAATTAGGAATCCACTGGGATTAAAAAATCACTCCTCTGGCACAATTCTCATATCTTCCTGCTGCTGTAGCCGGTCGATCTCAGTCTCGATAGCCAGAACCCACAGATCTCTTTCTGCTCTACTTCGAGCTTTAAATACGATTGATCTGCCTGATGCACCTAGGCGAGATACATGTCTCCATCTTCGCGTCTTCTGGTTTCCCTCTTTCTCTTCTTCCCCATGAAACAATACTCTGCGGGTATTGTTCCAGATGACAAAAGTTGTTGCTGTATCCTCATCAGCCGATGTCCAGCCATCAGATGGATATATGCGTGGTGTTGAATTATGACTTGGGTGCTTGTTATCAAACGTCTGGCTGTGATATAGGAGGTCGGAGCTAGTAATGATACCACTATATAGGTAGCAATCCCGTAGGTCGAGAATGGTCTGCCTAGACTGATACGTATGAGGTACTTGTTCTCCTGAAAAAGTCCTAACAGAGCCCTGGAAAATGAGCAGTTGGCCTTCAACAAGTATAACACTGCATTTTGAAAACGAGCCCCGTCTGTGTGGTTTGCGATAGAGGTGGCCAGATATCTGAGCATAGCGTTGTTAGCTTGAGCACGAAGTTGACAGTCAACCCTAGATAAATTGAAACATACCTTGATTGCCCGGCATCCGGATGGGCCACAAACATTGAAGAGCTCCGGTGAGGCGTCTGCCCGAGCAACTTCCCATTTTTGTGCAAATTGTCCAATCACAGATTCCTGCTCCTCATCTATATCAAGTTTTTCCAGGTTGCGTTGCCGAATCAGTTTCAATGTATTGATATCAGCCCTGATCCGAGCATTCCAGTATGTAGCCAATTGGCGTAACCTATGGACCCAAGCATCTCGGGTTTCGGTATTATAGGCACGTAATCTGACCACAAGCCCATCATCCAGTTCAAGCTCAAAAACCTGATCGCTGTCACTATAAGAGAAATTGCCGGTAGTAGCACGGTTTGTAACAGGACGCTGAGTTCCAAAATTTGTTCCACTGCTCTGGGTTCCCCCATTTTCCATCTCTGATACAGCTCTTATTTCGGTTACTCGGCACAAATTGAAATACCCTTCCGCTTGGCTAAGGTTTTTTGTATTTCGGCGATTCTCTGTGTATGCGGCTTGGTCACAGTACCTAGCATATGACTTATTGCCTCCATTACGTAGCCATGAAATCTGGCCATTTTCAACTGGATATGGGTCAACCGTATACATAACTGGAGTGCCTCTAATTGTTTCAGGTGCAGTAGAAGACTCGGCTTCGGGAACACTGGGACGTTTTGGGGCTGGAGGTGTAGATGCTTTCGCTGGCTTGCAAAAGCAAAGGTATTGGTCCTCGCTATAGAAGTATAAACGCTTGGAGAAGTTCTTTCCCCAGCGCCGGTGGGTGCCTTGCTGGGAGGTGAGGAGAATTAAAAACCCTTCGATAGGAGACGGTTCCTCCATCAGGGGTTCGGATGGCTCCACAGTCGTGGAAGTTGGATAATGTCGCTTCGGCCGCAGTTCCAAATCGTGTGAAGTTCTCATAGCCATTGTTCCATACATTCTCTCCTCATTCCCTCCTTGAATCCACTCTATCCGGTCATACCTCCGCCATGCTAAGCCCATCTTCTCAGACTTCTTCCATATGTCGAGAATCTGAGACCATTCAGTACATTCCGTGAGTGTGTCCATGCAAGTGCGTATTATTCCGGTAGACACGGCTTGTTCCTCACCCATTGAATTTAACAGAGCTCCTTCATTCTCGTCATAGTTATCCTTTGCAAACCGCTCAAACGGGTTCTGTAAAACAAGAGAAACATCGAGATCAGGTGCATGGACGAACAGGCTGGAGGGTTGTTTCCAGCCCAAGACCTTTCTAATGAAGGTATACCATTCCACTGAATGCGCTGCCGCTCGAGCTCGCATAATGTAAATACGAGTACCGTCCATCTTTGTAGGATGCCACACAACAACCGTCTTGTCCAAAGTGGAGAATAGATTTACGTTGACTTGGCCCTGGGAAAGTTTCACCTCATGTGCATATTTTCTCTTGACTTTAGCACCCTGAACCTGGGGTATCACACGCGTTTTGTAGAACTGGAGAAGATATGGTGTTTGCTCGTCGTAGCCTTGTCGGCAAACTACAAGATACTCCCTCCAGTTCTCGACTGGTCGTGTCTCGATTTTAAGGCTGGCATTATCGTTATAAAGATTGGGTACAGTTTGAGCAGTAACATCGATCCGTACTAGCATTTTTTCTGCTCTAAGAACTTCTCCATGTCGACGAGCCTGTCGTTTTTGTTTTCTATTGGTCCTGGAGCCATCAGATAGGCCAAGGCGGTTCTGTAAACGGCGTTGTCCATCACCAACCCTCTCCTCTACCCCAAAGCGGACTCGGTCAGAAATAACACGGTTAATAAGCTTGCTCGGTTGTTGAGATTCAGCTAATTCGGCCTCTGTCTGGTCGGCTTCTCCTCGAGGTTCTTGAGGCCGTAACTCTAGTTGTTGAGGCTTTGGCTGCCTTGTATCTTTTTGGGTGGAAATTAATGGCGGCTTATTATGTGGTATCAAAGACGACAGTGACCCAACATCTGTTTCTAAACCTTGCCCATCGGTAGTAGATACGGCTGACGTACCCGTTGTTGCACAGCTATTTCGATATGGTAACGAGGAGGAACTTTGCAGCTGCCCACTTTCTGTACTCTTTCGATTTTTTGACTTAGTGTTATCTTGTGGCATAGAATTGACTTCGGGAGTTGTTGACTGCGGTTCAGTGTCAGGAGCGGTAAAATAGGCTTCAGGCACGTTATCGTCGGATGACATTCGCACAACAAGGCTGGAATTCGTAGCGAGAGGGCTATTTCTGGGTCGCTGCTGATCTTGTATGCGTTTTATATTCGGGTGGGAGAGACCAAAGTATTCCGCGTCATCGTCCCTGCGCTGGGCTTCACGGCCAGCGTCTATTGATCTGATTACCCTTGGTCCCAGTTGGCTACCTCCTGCCGCTTGGCCATTCTCTGCTGGTTGTTGTTGTTGTCGTTGGATTCGATCCTCTTGGCCTTGGTCCTCGTCTTGTTCCTCGTCTTGGTGTTGGTCTTCAGCTTCGGCTTCGACATCATCTGGTTGTGGGAAGCTCGGTTTGAATCGTGTAGTTGAGGAAGGGCCCATGAATCGAGTTGATTGGCGTTGGTATCCAACAGACATATCGGCAGAGAATGTTTGGTTACGGGATGAATAATCTCTGATCCCGAGACATGATTTATACCAATGCCTCCTGCGGTTTTGGCCCCAGCCCTTGGGCAATGGCCCTATGAAGAAGCGTCGATTCGTGATATGCAGGTGGTCTGGCGATCCATGTTGCTGTAGTCTCAAGATGTTAGAGTCTATCCATACATCATATTGAAGGTTCATACCAATTTCTGCGCGGTGAAGGAACCACATTCCAAGCTGTCATGGTCATCTCGGGAGCGAGACTGACGACTGACGGTTGGAACTGGCTGCTCGCTTGGTGGGCCAGTGGAATACATTTCCCCATCACTGACCACAGCAGTCTTAGGTCACAAGGGGCTTCTGCCAGACATCGGCGGCTACCGCGAACACGGCATTCTCCAAATGACCGTCGTTGTTGTCGCTTAAGCTGGGAAGTCGAAACAAACTTGGCATGGAAATTAAGATTTAAGGTTTCTCCCTATGACGTAACCAGGGCTAGAACAGTAAATATACCAGCTGGCCCGAGCTTCAGCTCAGTTTGCAATGTTTGTATGTTTTGCTGACGTAATATTAGTCAGTGTCTTGGATTTAGACGCCCCGCCATTAAGGGATGGGCGGTGGGGACGGGATGGTCGACTGCTTTGTAGGTATTTCGTGTGTACGTACCTCCGTTCTCCAACCTCTTGTGAACCTCCTCTGCCACCAGAAGAATTAGAGGAAGAATTTGCTGCTCTCCTTTCAGTTCGAATCGAAGTCTGTGTCCATCGCCATGGCTACTACCGCTACAATCCCAGAGGGTGGCACATGGCTGGACACCATGAAGAGGTCTTTCGAGGACGTCCCGGTTGATGAATCCTCCGACAATGCCATCTCAACCACTGAGTTCCTCGAAGCTGCTGAGTCTCTCGTGAAGCTATTCGGTAACTAGTCCATTGCCAGAGGTGCCCATTGATGGTATATACTAATTATGCAATGTTTTCGACCTTTAGATATCCTCGGCTCTGTCGCCTTCACCCCTGTTAAGAATGATTTGCTGGGAAACATCAAGGTGTGCCCCTGATTTACACTTCCAGGAAGGCTCCTTTAAGAACAGATAACTTACGAGAGATTGCGTTTTGATATAGAAAATTCGAGACCGTCAACTTGCTGCCCCTGCTGAGTCTGAAACTCTTCAGGCCCTTGTTCTCAATGAATTGAAGGCCAAGCAACACAAAGCCACTGAAGGCTTAGTCTGGCTTATTCGGTAACCACTCCCGGTGATTGAAAAGCATTCATACATCACGCCAAGTTGCTTACTATGGAAATGTGTACAGCGGCCTTGACTTCACCGCCCAAGCTTTCAGCAGGAACCTCGCTACGGAGAGCGAAGAACTAGCTTCCTCTTTCCGAGAAGCGTATACCAACACCTTAAAACCGCACCATAGTTTTGTGGTTAAGCCCATTTTCAGTGCTGCCATGTCGGCAACTCCGTACAGGAAAGATTTCTATGCAAAACTCGGAAGCGATGAGCAAAAAATACATGCAGCGATGAAAAAGGAGATTTGTGCTTTGGAGAAAAGAGTAGCTATCCTAAATGAGTTCCTGGCACGAAAGGAGGCTAAATGGTAAAAGTCTTTTTGCCAATTTGGTCTCGATTTTACCTTCTCTGCCCGGTGGTGGTAAGGTATATTGTTGATAGGCTCTCCTGAACATAAATCTAAATGGATATCATTTTGAATTAAAAAAAGTAGTGAATAGACTATGCTTGTAAGTATCAATAGCTCTATCTCCCTTAGCTTTCGCGGTGTAGAATGTATGTACTTGTTAATCGTCATAAGTTATAAGAGAAGGTAAATAAAGCATCCCTGAAGCCCTGCCTGGTTGTGGATTATAAAACACCACAGCAAAATAAACACTCAGAAAGGTATACGGCCGTCAACAGCCGAGATGGAGGAAATTCCTGGAAATAAAGGAGATGACAGATGGAGGAGATTGCCTCCTCAGCTGATCAAACTCAGCTCACCTCGTTCAACGACCAATCGGATAACTTCCTTGTTCAGGCCAGTCCAGTGTTTTTTACCCCTGATGAACCAGTACAGGATCGCAGAGAGTGTGCTAAATGCGAAAATTGGCAATGAGTAATTCATGTTCTGCGCACTAACAGGCAGTAGAGAGGGGAATGGTAGCCAAATTGTCACATATGCGGTGTAAAACATCGCAAATATATTGACAGCTAGGCCATATCGGCCCATGTTCCACTCCCCAAGCTCCAAGGGGCGATCCCGGGAGAACCGCGCAATTACCATGCAGCCAATTGCGATGAAGTAGGAGCTAAAAAGTCCGATGGTTGAGAGGGCAATAAAGGCGCCAAAAGCAGTAGTGCTAGCTATGTTTAGACAAGCGAGCACCATGACGATGACAATAGAAAGCCAAACAGCGCGAACAGGGACACAGTGTCTTTGATCGATCTGGCAGTACTATGGTCAGTAATGGGGATACAAGATGGTATAACACAGGATAATACTTACCACTGAGAACCAGGCTGGGAGGCCTCCGTCTCGAGACCACGCCCAAGTAAGGCGTGAAGTTGATGCAATACTGGCAAGGTTAACAGCAAGAGAAATGATGAGCAGACCAGATACCATGGCAGTTGCAGCCTTCACAGAGCCGGTAGCTTGTCGACATATTTCGATAATGGGGAAGTTTGACTTCAAAACGCCATCGATGGGGCCCATCGTGAAAAGGATAGTAATTATTATTGCATATGCAAGAACCCCATTTGTTGCAACGGTCCAGACCATAGATCTGGGGACAGCCTGCTTTGCTCGACGGACTTCCTCGCTCATGTGGACTGCTCCGTCAAACCCTGATGCAAGAATCCGTTAGTATCTGCCTGCAGATTTTAGTGGGCAAGGGATGACCCTACCTACAAAGCCCCAGGTGGGAGTGAGCAAGCCTAAATTCCAAGAAATGAATTCGTTGTTCCATCCTGAGGAGGACGAGTGGTCTCCAAAGACCCATCCAGGGGTATGGCGAGGAGCCATAGACACAAGCACAACGACAAAGACAATGAAAAGAACCACGTGCAGAATTCCGGCCAGAAGTTCGACCCAGGGAATCAGCCAGAAGGTGTACATGTTCATCAACCCTTCGACGATCAACATGGCAAAAATGATGAATGTAAGATGCCATCTCTCAGGCTGATAGTCAGGGAAGTTCAAATTCACTAGGCCTTGGATCATAGTGGCTGTTGTGTTGGCCACACCAGCAAGAAGTGACACCCAGGCGAACCAGGTAATCCAACCTATATACAGTATGTTAGTGGACAACGCTCCTTGACATAGAATAGTAATAAAACGGTAAATGTCGGAGTAACATATACGTACCTTGCATCCAAGTAATAAACTTCCTGTGCTTTTGAGGAGCTAGATAATGAGTCCAGTGATACTGAGCACCAGCAATGGGCTGCATAGAAGCCATCTCTGCCATGGAGGCGGACTGAGCCAACCCGCCGGCGACGACGACAATAATACCCCAAGCCAGAGCTCGAGGGCCACCATTGGTAAAAACAGCAGTTAGGTTTCTAAGCAAAAGCAATCATAGTAGTGGACTCAGTTAATGCAGATATCATGCAGGATAATTTGAGGCATGTAATGGACATACAGGGCCATGGACTCCCAACTGGACATAAACGTCAGGGAGAAGAAGAAAATTTGAGTGAAATTGAAAAGTTGCTAGTAGATTTATTGTTAGCCAAATACTGTATAAGGGGAAAAAAAGACAGGCTCTAGGGGGGGATAAATCACCTTCACTTTCGACTGCTCTGCGGCAGCTTGGTTACCAGCAGCAGCAGCGGCCGGAGAGCCTGGCTCAGCCATTGTTTTCGGTTTAATACCTTTCTCTGAATTACCGCCATACGGCTTCAGACAGTAACCCTCCTTCCTGTCCAAGGAAGTGAGACTATTCCCGTCCATTCTCAAGGGGAGGGCTATCAAAATGGGCC